TTACTCCAATTGTGCTCCTTACTCTTGTATCAAGGTATTCTCGAATTCATCATATATTGGGAGAAAAATATATTAGAATTAACATGAGTTAAGTGGTTTCATAACAATTCAAGGCATAATTATATCGACTTTTTACCACTTAACACTCATGCCCAAGCTTGGAGCAATAACATGCATCCACCAATATTGTTTGTCCTGATGGTAGTCAACGTCATGATCCAACGCTCTATACAAACATGTATCCTCAACTATAGTTTGAAACTAGAGTAATGTCTTGCAATAGTAGGAGATACATTAAGTGCACTTTAGATGCTGAAATATCAAGCAATAATAAACTTTGTATTATTGTCAGTGTATGTACCCTGACGTGTTGCGTCATAACGTTATCGTCTGCATCATCTGAAAAGTGTTGGAACGAAGTATTTAACCAAGACAGTTTTCTTGTGTTGCCTGTAGGTGAACCTAATAATGGTTCGCAAAAGATGGTCAAATTTTCACTGCTGAGACCTATAACCGTTAGTCCATCAATGGACACATTTAATTATAAGGTCACATCTTCTAATGTAATTGTGGTTTCTCTAATAAAAAAAATAAAATGTTTGGATTTCAGTTCTCCACCTTTCAACTAATATTGTGATCAAATAATGATTAACATTAACATTTCTTCACCTTTCAATTAACAATAATATTAATAATAATAATATTACCAATAATATTAATAATAATAATAATCATAAAAATAATATTAACAATAATGTTATTCCGATAATAATATCATTAAAAAATAAATTATGCTTAAAAAATTCGTAAAAGAAAGAAAATACTATTAACAACAATAATAATAATATTAAACATAATAACATATTAAAAATAATATTAACAATATTAATAATAATATTAACAATATTTACAATAATAATAATAATATTAACAATATTAAGAATAATATTAGTAATATTAACAATAATAACAATATTAACAATAATATTATCAATAATAATAATAATAGTAGTAATAATAATGATATTAATAACAATAATAATAATAATAATAATAATAATATAAACAATAACAATAATATTAGTAATAATAATAATAATAATAATAATAATATTATTATTAATTATTAATATAAACAATAATAATATTATCAATAACAATAATATTAATAATAATAATAATAATAATATTAACAATAATAATAATAGAAACCGTGAATTGTTGTTGTAGCAAAGAAAAAAAGAATAAAAACTGTGAAGAAATGAAAAGTTAATACTTCATCAAATATTGAAAAGTGTTGGAGTAGCAGCAAAGAAATTAAAATCGTACGAGAAAGAGGTGAGGGATAATAGCTTTTGATAGAATTGAGGGATGAAGATGAACGTAACGGGGTGCTCTATTTACAGGGACAAAAAGCTTGGTAGGTGATAAAGTTTCAATGGTACACTCACTTCAAAAATTTAATGCAAAACACGCTCAATTGAAAAATTGAATGGAAAGCACGCTCCTCTATTACCTGGTAAGATTCCTGGAAACTCTGTATCTCATTTACATTTCATGTGCAACCTTACAACCCAAGACATTGGCCATGTAGAAACACTGAACTCATCCAAACTTGCACGCATTCTGGTGCAACCATAAGATGCTAAAATCATGCAAGGAAACCTTATTTAGGCTATCCTAAAGTGAAATTGTGCAAGTTACCATGATTTTTACTTTGTCCCCACTGAACTCATGCTACCATTCATGATTTTGGCTTATACTGAACTCGTCCTTGTTGTCACGAGTTTTGTTTGTGAATAACTCATTCTTTCTAGTACGAGTTCAATTGAATTGAACTCAAACTGAACTCGTGCAACGTTACACGATTTTTGTGCAATTGGTTATTTAACATGAGTTTTGTGTGAGTTATGGGATGTGGAAATTGTTAACAGTAGCCTAATAATATAGTTGATTTAGTGTTGTACATGATAAATAGTATGTTACGTGAAAAGTGAATAATATGCATCCCTAACCATTTTCATTGCAATTGGTTGATTATAAATACCCCTTCGTTATTTTGAATCCAATCACACAACAATTTCTATTACAATCGTAGTTATTTATTGAAGTTTAATTTTTAAAGGTAGATTTCCTTGATTTAATTGAAATTTTTATTTAAATTTAGTTGGTTTATTTTACCTAGTATACTTTATACTATCACTATATTTTTTAATTTTTAAAAATATATTTACTTGGGTTGGTTTAATTTAAATTTAGTTGGTTTATTTAACCTAATATATTTTATATTATCACTATATTTTTAAATTTTTAAAAGTATATTTACTTAGTTTAATTTAAATTTAGTTTTACCTAATATACTTTATATTATCACTATATTTTTTAATTTTTAAAAGTGTATTTACTTGGTTTAATTTAAATTTTTATTTAAATTTAGTTAATTAGTTTATTTTACCTAATATATTTACACGATCTCTGACTATATTTTTTACTCAAATTTTCTATTTTTTTAATTAGATGAACAAATTTTGGTAGTTTATCTATGGTAGATAATGAGCTTCTTATTTAAGATATTGTCGAAGACTTTATTGATGAAGAAGAAGATAATTTTTCCTCTGTTGTAATGTATTTGAATGATGATGTCCTGCTACATGTTGGACAATCGTTTATTCAATTAATCCATATCGGTCAAAACAACATCTGGGAATGTCAGTGCTTTTCATCAAAACAAGCAACAATAAGTGCAATCAAATAATTTCATATTAATGAGGGATACAAATTTTCTGTTATCGAGTCTAAAACTGACAAATATATTATTCATTGTATATATTATGACAACGGGTGTTAATGGAGAGTTTGTGCTTCATTCAGTAAAATTTGTACTTAATGGGAGATAAAGAAAATTGAAGCACTTCATATATGTTTGAGTACAATGTTAAATTCAGATCATCAAAACTTATACCTGTTCGTCATTGCTAAGATTTTTTTGAATTGGTCAAAACAGATCTCTATGTTCCTATTAAAACTTTGATTGCAGAAGTCAAAGACAGACATGATTATACAGTGACTTACAAAAAAGCATGGACGGCGAAACAGAAGGCGCTTGTTGTGACATTTTGGAGATTGGGACGAGTCATACAATGATCTTCCAAGGTGGTTGCAAGTTGTTGAACATAATAGTCCTGGTATAATTGTTCAGTATATTTGTTCTTCTCATTCGGTGCATGGTGTCCATAATCCATCATTTATATTAGAGCATATCTTTTGGTCATTCAAACCATGTACAAAAGACTTCAAATATTGCAAGTCAATTATTCAAGTTAACAATACACTCCTAATAGGAAAATATCATGTTACATTATTGATTTCAATTTCACAAGATAACAATAGAAACATATTTTCACTAGCATATGCAATTGTCGAAGGTGAAACGAAATAGACATTAGTATGGTTCTTACAACTTCTAAGACATTACGTTACATCTTAAAATAATTTATGCATGATAGTAAATAAAGGTAAAAGAATATTGTCAATTTTACAATAAAAAAGATCTTGATTGAAATTATCTCATTTCAGTAATATTCGCCATATTATCTTAAATTTCAACAAAAAGTTCACAAATGTTGATTTGAAAAGACAAGTCAAGGTAACATCTTCTAATCTAGACAAATGTTTTTCTTTAAATAACATATTTCTGAAATTATATTTTTGTGTGTGTAGGATATAAGATGAAACAACCCGAAATTTTAGCAAAACTATCTAAGGTTTGACTTTGAAACATTTGTTAGATGACATTCCATTAGAGAAATGGAACCAAGCTTATGATGAAGGGAAACAATATGGACATATGACAACAAATTTTCCTGAGTCTATGAATTTTGTTCTCAAAGGAACACGAACTTTACCTATATCTGTGTCTTAGTAAAAACAACTTTTGAAAGAACTAAATCTTGTTTTGTGGAAAGAGGCATGAAAGCAGAGTAGGACACAAGTATCCAGAACATATTACTACACTGCTTAACAAGAACGAACAATGTGTTTGAATGTGTCATGTTCAAATATACAATCGAGATAATTTTGAGTTTGACGTACAAGACCAATCAAATCCATATCTTGGTCAAAGATTAATAAGTTACATAGTTCGATTAAATCAATGGTGGTGTGATTGTGGGGAATTTCAAGCCCTTCAACCCCCTTATTCTGATGTTATTGTTATCTACTCCTCTTATCATTTACAATTGGATGCATTTATTGATTTGGTTTATAAGTTACAAAGCATTCATAAGACATATGAATTTCAATTCCATCTGGTTCGTAATGAAAATTATTGATCTCCTTATACAAGTTCTTATTTTTGTCACTACCTTAATATGCGTTAAGACACATAAAGAAGACCTACAACTAATCGGATTCGAAATGAAATGGATGTAGAAGTTGAAAATAAATCAAAAAAATGTTTTTTTATCGAAATGAACGACATAATCGTGCAAACTACCCATTTCGATAATAAATTTATATTTATTTTATAAATATAATATTTTAATATAAATGTACTACGTTAAATGTATTCATATATCTCTAAATATTTTTATTTTTTATTAAATTAATAATTAAAATTAATTATTTAATAAATAATATATTTAAAAAAATTCCATTTTTTAAAAAAATATGGAACTAGATAACACTAATTGAGTATAATACCAATTATAGATAATTCGCACTACCAATTTTTTTTAAAATCAAATAATGTGTTATATAAAAGAATGTTAGTGTTGACCAAGTGAAATCCGTGCTACTTATACTATTTGGCCTATCTTAGTAAAATTTTAAATTTTTACCCCTTAATAAATCAATATTTTTTTTTTACCCTGTTTGTTAAAAAAAGCAGTTAGGAACAACAAAATACTACATGGGATCCAACAAATGATTGATACCCTTCTAGTGAACATGATTGGGGAGCTCTTGTAAGTTAAGAGGACAGTTTTGTTTACAGAAAATTTTCAAGTTTGAACCCAAGGCCAGACCCGTAGAGCATCTGATTGAATTTCTTTGTGGTTGACGCCAGTGATCTGCTTGAGAACATAAAAGGGAATTTGGGTCTCAAGCTTGAAAACCTCCCTAATAAGAGCATTCTCTGTGAGCTCTAAACCAGCAGCGTTGAAGAGGGTCATCCCGAGTTTTCCAGTTAAGTAAGAGAATCCTGAATCAGGGTTGGCACCGTTGAGAAGCGTTATGAAAGCAAGCAAGAACAAGCCATCGACCGTAAGAACGTAGGAGAGGGTGTGGAGATTATACGAGGATTCTACATCAGGGTGGAAGAAGGTTTGCACATGTGAGGCAAAGTTTGAGACGCGGCGTTGGAACAGCCCAAGGCCCACAAACTGGGTGGGAATCTTCCAAATCAATGACAAATATTAAAATAATTTTTCAAACATGTTAACAAATATTTTTGAGGTTTCCTTTCTCAAACTCTATCAATAATTTATTTTGATTTAGATAAAGAAACAAGTGATATATGAAGGAATGAGTCGCATCAATAATATGTGGGTTAGATAATGAAGATCCTCATAATTCACTTTCAACTTAAAATGAATCTAACATTAATTAGTTATAATATATAACTGATTGTGGTTATTCTTCATCACACTCATAAATGAGAGGTTATCTGCTCTAGGTCAAGATATAAAACCATTAAGACCCCTTTCATAGATTCATAATAATACTAATAAAAGTATAAACTACATAATTGTTTAATAATTAGGATGAAGAACCTATTTAGGGTCTACAACAATTTGAACACTTATAATATACATAAATTACAACAAATATCATTAATCCTTATTTATTAATAAAACCACTTTATTTAATCATATTTACGAAAACATTTCACATAAATAAGACTTGAAGATTCTAAAAATAATATAAATATATAATAAATCAATTATGAAGTTACAGCTTATGATAAAAACAATCATAATACAAGTACAAGTAGAATACTTCAATTACATACAACAATTTTTTTTATACAAATAGAATACTTCAAATTACATACAACAAAAATTTATATATTATTAATATTCTAATATTATTATAAACATTTATATATAATATTCTCAAATTCTGTCTTCTTATATGTTAATATATAACATTTTAATATACAAATAACTAATCTAAGAATTATTCTTTAAACTTCTCATGAGTAGGTTTTTAGGATATTTTTTTTAATCCTAAACAAACATAAAAAAATCTAATGACTATTTATTAATAAGGAATGTACTGTTAAAATTTTTAAAATCAAAGTTAGATTTAATGTATTTTTAATTTTTATCTTTCTAATTTTATATTTATAATTTTATTTTTGTAATTTATCTTTTTCTATGAACCTATTTTTATTTTCCCCTAAAAATGTAAATTTATTTTATTCTATAAAACATTTTTATTTCATTATATGAACGTAATTAAATAATTAAGTTCTAAATAGTTAGATTATTATTAATTGTTTTTAGTAAACAGTACTTTAACTATAGTGAAGAAACTCTCAGCTGAATTTCTAATATCCGTATAATTTGACCTTCAATTGTTATCTCTAAGTTAAATAAACATGTTAAATAAATTTAATGACTATAATATACTCCTATTTCTATAGTAATTTATTTTATAGTTATTAAAAAATGAATAAAATAAAATATTTACCGCACTATATGAATTAATTACAATAATGGTAAAAAGTAAAAAAACCTTAAACGAGGAAGAAGAAAAGGATAACAGAGGAGGCGGCGCCGTTTGAAGCGAGGTTGTTTGCTTGCGAGTTACGAACCCTGTTCACCACTCTTCAAACCCCTCCTCCATCCACCCTTCAACGCCGTGGAACAAGAGAAGACACTCTCGCTCCGCCATGTTCCGCAGAATCTTCTCCCACCATCGCGCACTCTCGGTATGCACGCGCTCTCTCGCCACTCGCCACGCTCCCAATGTCCCTCTCCCCTCCTTCCCAATCACAGGATCAACAAGGTCTATTTCTTCCAAAACATCCCAATCCAAGGAACACGGGGATTCTACCAATAAGGTCAGCGGGTCAATGAATGAGTCATTTACTGCTTCCAAACCTAATTTGGATCCTTTTTATTTATAGGCCAAAAAGGACATAGCGAGTGTTGAGGATCCCTTTAGTGCCCCTACGTATAACATTCCGGAGAAGCCAGTGACGTTCGTGGAAGGAGCGTCCTACAGTGTGGTCATTCTTGCGGGGCTTGGAATCGCAGCTGCTGCCGGATATGCTGTTTTCAAGGAGCTTATTTTTCAACCTAAAGAGTAATCACCTTCTTCCTCGTTTCTCTTATCTTCAAAGAAAATGCTGCATACAATATAGTGTAATATTCAAATATGTGTTTATTAAATTGCTGTGTGCTGGTGACAGGTACAAGATCTATAGCAAGGCTCTCAAAAGAATTCAAGATGACGGTCAGGTCAGTCAAGCTTTTCTCTCATTTCTGATTTCCTGAAAGCAAAAAATAATCCAATATAAAGCATTTCCATTAGGTAAAGAACTTAGGTATTTGAAAGGTTCAGGCAAAAACCAGGCATGCATTTGAACAATGTTTTATTTACTGCAAAGGCTGAATTGTAATTAAATTTTTATACATGCCAAGCCAAAGCTCTGGATCAAACAATTGTAAGTTAAGGTTACTTTGGGTAATGAATCGTAGCCGGTTCTATACTGGTTAGCTGTTTTTATTTTCACTTGCGATGGAATTTTTTTTTCTTTTTGTACCAGATACGAGTGAGGATAGGATCGCCAATTACTGGTTATGGTCAGGAGAGTAGAAATCGAGCTGCTCGCCAAAGAATTCCTCACAGGGTATGGACCGATGAAGAAGGTGTTGAGCATGTAGAGGTAAACATATCATTTTCTCAAATTTATTTGTTGATGTACTCGCGCATTTTCGTTTTATGGGAACTATTTTGATACACCTTGGGAGGGAGTAAACGAGGAAAAGAAAGGAGAAAAGAGGCAAGGTAAAGGAGGATTTCTTTGGATACAATGCTGCATTGTTCCTCTGAATCGGGTACCCCTTAATAGGTTAGTTGGCTATTTGTTAGTCATATTAGTTAGTTTTTTGAGGCTGGGATAATTAGAGAAATAAGGCATGTTGCCTATAAATAAGAAAGGGAGTTGAGAGAGGAGGGATTATGAAACTGGAAAGATTTGAACTCCTTAGAATGAGGGAAATGAAAGGGTCTGTTGAATACCCTAAGCGTTATTGTAATTCATTTCTGGTTCTGGTACCAGAGAAATATCTTCAGAGAATAATACACATTTCTGTCTCTTTTCTTCATATGTTTTCTTCTCTGTTCTGATCTAGTTTTATCACTCTGCCCTTTCAAATTCTTAAAATTTTGTTTATGGTGAAAGATACTTATTGTTTAGTAGCTGTGTCATTGATATTGATAATATGATTCCCACTCAAATATGTAAATTTGGTTTACAGGTTAATTTTTATATCCGAGGCCCCCATGGACATGCAAAAGTATTCTCTGAGATGTTTAAAGGTCCAGCTGACAATGAATGGAAGTTTACTTACTTGATTGTTGAGATCAGAGCACCATCTACAGCACAAATAATTCTGGAGTCTTACATTCCAACGTACAATGCAACCAAGTAGCCTAGATGAGAAAAGGTTTTGTTCTGTACCATTTGCTGATTACTCTCTGTAGTTACTTACTAGGTTGTACTCACAAATTATACGTGATTTCTGTGCAATATACGTCCCAAGTTCCCAGATAAAGAAAATGAAAGGAAAATGAAGAGACAGAGCTTTAACATGTTATTAACGTCATTTTTTCTGTATTGCTTGCATATTCCATTAACCTGTTGCAAATGTTAGACATGCAATATGTGTATTTGTGTTTGTATGTTACCTTGAGCTCTGTCCTTTTCCTTCATTAGTGCTGCCTTATCTCACTGAAGCTCTTGCCTTCATTCGCTTGTTTGTGAATATCAGGCTAAGGTACTGTTCAATATTTTTTTTTCCTGACTGCATGTATACTCCAAATTACTAGAAGGAAAAATTCCTGTTACCTGTTGCTATTGTAATCCATTTCGTATGCAATTCATACTTTTGTGTATGCTAGAAGGAAAAGAAATCCTTTTATCTGTTGGTATTATGGTCATGTTCGCGTGCCTTTCATATTTTTGTGCATTCAATAAAACTTGAAGAATCATAAGAATTCTAAAGTACTTAATGCAGGTATTTATTATTTGGTCCATTACTGGAGGCTGCATTTTCCAGCTATCAGCATTGACCACCTTAGCCGGTCCATGTTTCATAAGAGGGATGAATGAAAGCTGAAAGAAGGAAAAACAATTAAAGAAAGTCAAATAATGTGAGAAACTGGATCCCAATTCTCAGGTTCAGTATTTTCGTTTTTTTGGTTTTTCCATTTAGAACCTGCAGATTTGAGGAAATGTTTTGGGCAAGGATTTTAGTAACTATGACCAGAGCAATTACTTTGTCTTGACAGCTATTGAGAATTCCATCTACCAATTTGTTGTTATTGCTGACAATTCCCACATGGCTTTGTTAGTACATCGAGTTGCTTGTTGTAGAATGCAAATCTTTAAGGACGAATATAGGGAATTGTAGCCAAAAATGAAAAGTGATATGGATCATATATGATTGTGGATGATTGTTACAATGGAGACAGCAAATGACGTTTAGACTATTTTCTCTCAGGAATCAGTGTGTGCTTTAAAACTAATCCGAGATAATGAATAAAGGTGCTAGCATGCAAGCATTCATCACGTACTGTATTAATATATTTTCTTATTTTAATCCTTATAAACATGTGCATCAAGAATCTCTTGAGTAAAACAAATCCGTGTCACATTCTTATTGTTTCTTAACATTTGAGCGACCAAAGTCTCAAATCGATGTTAGTTTCAAGAGCTGCTTCATTGCACATTGTTGTGCAAATTGAACCTTATTCTTTTGACAGTTGCTTGTGTAAAAAGATCAGAATGCATCTGCATTTTCTGATGCCATTTAATAATAATATAGTAATAAGACAAAACTTAAATCTAGTCTCAGTTCATAAGTTTTTGTAACATCATTCTGTAATCAGAATTAAAGTTTTATTTTGATAATTTATTGTAATCTTCTATGCATACCATTGTTACGTTATTGAAGGAATAAACTATAATGTTAATTACATTAGTATATGAAAAATACTTACAAGAACTATATATGTAAGTTTTCCCGTAAGTTTTGGCGACTATTGTATTACATTGCCGCCACAATTTATGTGATGCGATGGAATTTAGATAGTGGGGTGTGACCCACTTTATCTGTTTCCATCATTTTCTCTTCCGTTCTTATTTAGTTTGAACAGATTAATTCAACAATAGGCATTGGTAAATTTCGAGAAGACTCCAACTTCACAATTAATCTGGAAGCACGTAATAATAGGTTATGTTCTATAAAGGAGAAGCAATGTTTTCCACAAAAGAAGATTAAAAACTAAAGAAAACGCAGAGTAAATAACTGGGAAAATCTAAATGTAGCAACACATACTAGTTGCCATGACAGAGATGCCAAAAATCAAACATTGACCCAAGAAGAAAGGAATCCTGATTCATATGAGAAAAGTTGTAACAACGATAACTAATAACAAACGGCGAAATGTCAAAGTTGATGATGAGAATCCTGACTGGGAACGGTTTTTGTTTCAAAAAGTAAAGAAAGCAATTATTAGTAATACTAACGCGCAAAATATCCCTTTGATTTTTTAAGCAACATAAATCATGTGACTAATCTAACAAGCTACAATTCAAGTAAAATACTTGTATTATCTGCTATAGGTTAATGAGCCGCATAGAACTATAACCAAGACTATATGATTCTAATCTGAAGATAATAATAACACCTCCCTACCACCTCTCATAATGGTGGGCTTAAGGAAAAATGGCTACAATGACAACTACCAATCTCCATGACTCGTACGTACCCTTCACCCAACAACAACAACCAACAAAACAAAAGTAACATTGAAATTATTAAAGATATTGAACAGAAGATTTGATTATGAATCAACACTGCTTTGAATCATTACAACCTTATTATCAGAACTTTTGAAGCCCAAATCTGTGTCAACTTGCAATGGATTGTCAACTAGTTCTAAACATTTATACCTATCAAGAAACAAACCAACTACATATCTGTATTGTCCTGAGCGATTACATTGTAAGTGATACATCAACTTGAAAACAAAAATAGAAAACATCATTCAATCTACTGGGTCTGAAATAGAGAGATCCACCATCTTTGCATGTATTAACCAGTATTCTGCAAATCAAATGAGTAAAGAATTCAAGTAAGTAAAGAAGTCGGACCAAAGAATTAAAGTTTCCTCACAGTTTTTATAAAATTTGAAGCATTATTTCAATATAATCAAATTTTTAAAGTCCTACAAAAATCTGCTTACCTCATACACGAGGCCTGTCTAAGAAAACTAAACTGGGCTTATAGTAACCTGCATAAACAATGGCAGCGTCCCTGTATATACCGATGAGAGCCATGCTAAAGAGTCTATTGTCTACATCGAATGAACGAAGTGAAGACTCCTCATTATAATCCACCTGCATCAACAACTCACCGTTGTCTCTATGAAACAAAAGAAAGGGCAGTTCTGTAATCCTGATATTAATGGTAGGATTGTAATGAAACAAAGTTGAAGAAATATAATTGGGGGTCAAATTAATTGTAAAGAGCGGAGTCCAGGACTCTCTATCTCCATATCTATCCATCGTCCACACAGAGGTAAAATGATGAGTCTCAGCGTAGTTCAGAGAATACGCCGTCAAAGGTTTGTTGCTGCCACTTCCAACAAGAAATACACCTTTATTATCATTGGTGGAAGGGACCGCCAAACGGTCTGGAAGCAATAATTCCCCACAGATCTCATTATGGGGACAAAATGTTAAGATGAAATAATGCCAAGAACTTTCAACCCATCTTTTCGCACCCCAGTGCAAAAAACCTTCGTAAGCAACAGCACTCCGAGGATAACACATACTTAGACACAAGGTACAAATAGGAGTTTCTACATGTCTCCAAGAACGTTGCTGAAAAGAATAGACCCAAGCACGAGGACTCTGGGGACCTCCTCGACGCCTGTGATGCTGCTTATCAACTTCAATATGGAGAAGTATATAATCGAATCCCTTACGAATGAAACCGTAACAGTGAACGTGTGGATTGTTTTGTGGTTGAGTAGGACCGACCAAGAAAAACCTCAAGATTGCAGGATTGACAAAGAAGATTCCTCTATAGGTTTCTATGCAAAGAATTCCGTCACATTCGCCAATAATGCAGAGGATTTCGTTATTAGCTCTTTCCAAGAAAGGAAACCTCAATTCGGTTGATAGACTGAGACTAGCGTCATCATTGTGGAGAGAGGCGTCGAGCGAGGGGAGAAGAAGAACATACTTGGGAGACCTCTCGTGGTGTTCAGTGATGAAATCCCGCGAGTTGATATAGGAAAAGTGTGCATGGGAGAGAACCAGAAATCTCACCACAGACCTGCATGGAAGATAAGACAAAATTTCGAATTGGAGATCCATCGGCAAAGGTGTAGGTGGAGGAGGAGGAGAAGGAGGAGAAGAAGGAGGAGAAGAAGGAGAAGAAGGAGGAGAAGCCATTGTTAACTCTGGTACAAGAGTTCCAGTTGTATAGACTGTCTTGATACCCATAAATTTCTTTTCTCAGTTCAGATAAATATATATAAGGCAAAACTTTCATAATATACATCATATTTATTTGAAAAATATTAGTTCTATTACTAATAACATAAGATAAATATATTAATACATTTACTCTATTATATTTTATTACTAATTATTAATTTATGAAAAATAAGAGAGTCCTTCTTCCTTTACTAAAATATGTTATTTATTATCTTTCTTTTTTATAAATTTATATTTTACAGTTTATTCTTATTCTTTTTATAATTTTAAATTCTGATATATATTTTTTTTATTTTACTTCTTTTATTTGCAGAAAATATACTTTAAAATCCTATAAATTAACTTGTACCTATTTTACTCCATAACAAAATTTTCCCTTCAATAAACACAGATTTTCCTCTATTATCGAACAAAATTGCATACAAAAATCCTTTTATTATTTATGGATATCTAGATTTTCTATAAAATTATTTATGCATAAATATATTAAATTAATTTATTAAAAATATATTACAAAATGATTTTTAAATTACATTCTCATTAGCCCTTTTAACAAGTATTTCACAATACAATTAAACTAAGTATTCAATAATTTTTAAATATACTTTTTATAATTTTATACTCCAAAATAATAAATTAAATTATTTATCACAAACTAACACATATTATTATCATAAATTAAATACTATATATATATATATATATATATATATATTAGTATTTAATAAATTTACATTTAAATTCAATTAACATTGATATTACAAAGTCAATCTTTTATACACAAGTATATGATAAATATATTGAAATTGTTTTGATAATTTTTTATTATAAAACTGTATTAAATTACTTTCTTGAAAAACTTCTTTGTTTTCTTGTTCACATAGTCGCCATGGCAACCTATCTCACCATCGTGCATCACTACAGCTTCTTGTTCCCTAAGAATGGCACCCACCACCTTGACTTCTTGTTTCCTAAGAAGCTTGACTTACAAGCCTACGAACCACGTGATCAACGGTAAGGTTAGTTCCATGTGTTAGTTGCGTTTTGACAGATTAAGTCAGAGGAAAGTTTAGGGTTTAGGGGAGGTTCACGCATGTACTTTCTGTTGGAATGCGGAGGTTCCAAAATTGAACTGTAGTTTGTGGTGGAGGAGCTGACTGCGGATAATCCTCCACTCAAAGTAATACAATTATTGAATGATTCATACTGAGTTCTATCAGTGGTATATGAAGAGGTATAGACAAAATTTAGTTGCAAATTTGAGGAGTTATTCTTTTCTTATAATTGGAGTTTTAACTTGTAATATGTGTAACAGAAGAAGACATTGCTTGTTGGACTATTGACTTACATTATTATTGTCCATAATGTTTCTTATTTGTATTTAAGATAATTTACTTGATCTGAATATGTTAACTCCCAATTCCCAAATATCCTGATGCTTAACATGGAGTTTAGTCTTTTCCACCATTGATAGTTGGTTATGCTAGTGATGTCAGAATTAGTGTTTGATACTTAATTTTCTGTAATGTTAGTGTCACATTTTACTGTTGTGAGTAGCATTACAAGACACTGTAAATTTGTATGCTGTTGATAGTTGGCTATGGGAAGCTTGTGTTCGTGTAAGCTTGATATTAATTCACTGTTTTACTTTATTAATTCATTGTTTTACTTTGGCTTTTAATGTTGCTACAAATTCTAAATTTAGCTGGAGAATGTAGGAATTTAAAAAGTAATTATTGGTCTTATCTCTTCAACTTTAACCCAAATTTCAAACTTGTTACTCTGTAAGTCATGTCAATTAGTGAGTTTGTATGCTACATTGCTATAGCCGTGTGGCTTGGACTTTTTCAAAAAGGTTCTAGAAACAACAGTTTATATTTTCAGGGGTCTTGCACAGAATAGACTCACTATTGAGATTTCAAAACTACTCTACTGAACTCATGTCTTGCAATACATGTGAGTTTTTTTATCTTTTTTTCTAGTACCCTTGTTTACTTTTTTTCAGCTGTTAAATGTTTCTTGCTATATCTTAGTATGCTCTGCCACTGTATAGTATAAATATTGATAGAAAGTTTACATGTTTTTGTGTCGTTTGTATATATAATCATGAGATAGTAGGTAAACAGGGTATATGCTGAGTGAAACTTTGGCCCTTGACAGTTGTCAGTTATCTCTATTGTGCTATTTGAACTCTTTGGATGATGGCTTGCAGAAATAGTGTCACAGGTAATCTCTGAATCTCATATTTCGGCATTGTAGACAAAACAGAGAGGGTCAAGAATCTTGTAACAGCTCCTATTTGCTGCTCTGTTTGAATCAGGCTAGTAATAAGATCTTTCTAAACAAATTTATTTTGTTCAATAAAATAATATGATACAATTAGATGAAAACAATCATATTTATCTTTGTAAATTGGTTTCTTATTTAGTTAACAATAAGGAATCATTGTTAGGATGACTTCTAAAATTATTACTATAACAAAATATTGTTTTAACCATAAATAATAATTTATAATCAAATGATAAAATTAAAATACTTATTTTCTCTAATATAAAACATGAAAAGAAATTATAAACTATAGGTCACGTCCGAATTATTCTCATATATTAAAAGATTAGTTTAATATCTATATATATTAGTGTAAAAATTTGATATTGTAGAAAAAATATTAATAGTTTTATTTATTCTGAATTTTAAAAAAACTTATTTTAAAATTTTTGAAATATAAAATATAGTTCAAACAACGTGTTTGAAGGTTAATTTATCGAAGACAACTAACTTACTCAAATTAGGAAGAGTGTTAAAATGATGAAGAAACAATAACGACAGACAAAGACTTCAAATTAGAATATTGCATACCAATTTAAACTCTTGTAGAACCGTCTAAATATTAGGTAGGTGTCACGTTAAACACTCACAATACACATAAAAAATTCATTAGAAAAATTACACATAGATCTCTAACAATACATACACACATGTAAAAGAAATTATTTGTTCATCTCTCACGACCATGACAAATTTTGTCAATAGCACAACATTTATCTAATGATACTACATTGTAATTCTCATCCCCCTCGACCATATGTTAGCAAGTAACAAAGAGTTAAACATGAATAACCAATGATACTTTGAAAAATATCCTTTTTCATGAAAGTCTATCCTAGGGTAATCATCCCTCAATGACAACTCAAATTTCACAGCTCTACACCAAACAAAATATCTCATACGGATATTGACACTCTTATCGTTTCCTTTACTCAAATCAACCAACATGGTCAAACTACTATTTGTATTTGAACTATATCTTGGTCCATTAATCAACAACCTCCAAAGCACCTTGGTTAACAAACCCACTCAAAAGCTCCTTAGTTGCTAATGAAGAAATGGAAGACATCTTTTGACTTTAAAAAAACTTGTATTAATCTAACTTCAAAATTATTCTCAAACGATAAAAAATGACACCTACCATATATTTATAAGAAACACATACACATAAATTGAAGTGTTTCAACCCCTAATCCTCTCCCATTAATCTAGTGACAAAAGTTTACTTTAAAATACATCACATTCAAACCTTTCCACCATAACAACCCACCCCAACACCTTTTAGAAGTTTATCGAAAGATCCACTTAAATTTTTTTCTTATTATTGTCAAGATTCTTCATTACTTATTGTCTGTTCAAGTTTAAAAACTAATAGATAGATGAGTCAATAACCTATAGGTAAAATAGGATAAATTAGAATTATATTGAACTAAAATAATGAAATTTTATTTTAATCTCCTTACTCAACTTTTTCTACTTCTTCGTTGTTAAAAGTTCTTTCTTGAACTTAAAATTAGTGTAGGTATATTAAAACCAACACAAAAGAGTTAATCCCGTAAAAAAATTTCTTAAAAGATATTATAAATAAATGAAATATTAAGACATGTTACACTATTTAATTATGATATATATATATATATATATATATATATATATATATATATATATATATATTTTTTTTTTGTGAAAAGTTTACATTAGAAAATAATATGATAATATAGTTATTAGGAATCATTTGATTAATTTTTAAATACAAAGGCATACAGGTACATACATTATCCATGTATGAAAAAAACATGTTAAAAAATTATCATCTGCAACTTTTACAAATTTTTAGCAGAGAAACCCGTGAAAAAAAGTCTATTTATCAACTAATGGTCATACTAATAAAATATTGTTTTAATATATTTTTAATAAAGTGATATTCATTTTTCTTATTCTATTTATAAAAATTGTTTAATTTTATAATTTCAAACTTTAATTTATATTTTTGTTTAAGATTTATGATATGATATTTTCAAATAAAGAAAAATAAATGTCATGTAAAAGTGAGTGTCGTTTATTAAAAACAGAATATCTAATTAAAAATAACATTAGATAAATGCTTAATTGTTATTTAACATAATTTAAACAAAAAAATAGTAAAAAGAGATCATTCTTTGATCGATTATATAGAACTGTAACAAATTAATCACCAATTGACTTTTTTTCAATCAACATTGATCTTGTCCCAATTAACCACAAGATTTTCATCAACAATGTTAAAACCCACCACTGCACTAGTTTCAAATGCAAGATTTCGGGGTTAAAACATGAGAAGTAAAGGGGAAAAGAATAGTACATAGCATTTTCTCAGTGTTTTAAAGCGTTATCCAAAACGCTTTAAGGGTCAACTTTCGTAGATTAACTCATCTCAAAATTTCGTTAAGGAATTTATGTGTCCGCACCTACAACACTCACGAAACCAAAATCCCCATCGTCATTGTAATTGTTAGCAGATTGCTTCATTTGCTTTAACATCAACATCGCCGTCGTCATCTCATCACCACTCAAAATCGGTGTTTTACATCGGTCTGGCAGAAAAAATAAAAAAACAGTAATGAAAGGGTAAAACAATTTCCTAATACCAATCATACCCCAAAACTGTTAATAGAAGAACCACATATAGATGTGACAAAATTTTCTCTGCACCCTTACATTGAAAGAATCAATAGCTGGTTTTCTTACACAATTTTCCCAATCATAAATAAAGTGAATTATTTATTATTATAAATCTAAGTTTTGAATTAGAGAATGGATTCAACAATAAAAAATAAAATTATTGAAGAAAAAAATAAAAATAAATAGAAACAAGTGAATATAAATAAAAAATAATAATTTTATTTATTTTTTATTTTAATTAATTATTATTATTATAATATTTCTTTTAATAAAAATATATTTTCAAAAATTATCATATAATTAATTATTTACCTTTATGTCAGAGTTGAGAAAATCCTGAAATGAGAACCTTAAATGTGCCTTGAAAACCCAACTTTATTTACTTTTCTGGCTCTCTTGAATATGTTTGGTGGAAGTGAAGGGAGAAGTTGTAAAAACAGACAAATTGATTTTGTGTTTGAAAATATTATTTTATTATGAATTTTAAAAAAAAATTATTAATTGAAATTAAGGTAAAGTAATTGAGATTGAGATGGTTGTGATAAGCACCTCCCCAGGTAGAAAGACAAAATTAAAATCAAAACTAAAATTCGAATGAAATAAATAAAATAAAAAACCTGCAGGGAACAGTGAATACTGACACAGTGTTTTGGTCACACACGCGGCGAAGCGAACTCTCACAAGCTCGCCACCAACCACTTCGTTTCTCCTTCAATTTTTTGTCTTTTAAGGTTGAACAAACCTCAGAATCTGTTTTCTCTCTTTCCAATCCCAAAACGACAGAAATCCCAAATCCGTTTCTTTTAGGCCCGCAATAAATAAGACAATTCCTTTCACCTTTAAAACCTTCGAACCATCTCAAAAGAACATCAAAACCAGAGACCAGACAATTATTGTTCTTAACTGTGAGTTTTTGGTTCTCTATCTCTTTTCTTGTTTCTTTTTCTCTATTGCATTTTTTTTTTCCAGAATGCCACTGTATGTTATGTTTCTCTTCCTTCTTCTCACATTGTGATGTATTCTTTTAGAATGTAAGAATTTTTTATTTTTCTTTTTTATTTTGATTATTAAAGCTTCCACCACTGATTTATCTTTGTCTTTCTGAGAAATCCGTTCCGATAAGGAAAATCCATCTGTTTAAAAGAATTTCTGAGATTTTTCTGTCACTTTCTCAGGAAAATTATGTCCTCCTCCTCCTCCTATTCGGTTTCTCCAGGAAAAACTTTCACCAATCTTGAACGTTTTCTGCTATGCGTCACTCCAGATGTTCCTTCACTCACTCTTCAGGTATTTTCTAATTTTTTATTTAACCAAATTTTAAAATTCAATGTTGCTTATCCTCTGGTCAAAAACTGAAGTGTAGAAGATGAGTTTATTTATTTTTTATTTGTTTTAAAGTTTCTCTGAATTCTCTGCGTGTTGTGTCGGAATCTAATAATTGTGAATTTCAGTTTGAGATGCTAAAAAAGTTGAAATAAACAATTTTTTTATGTTTGAATTAATTAATCAGTTATATACTAATACAGTGGTTATTATCCAAAACATTTGATTTATTTCTGTCTGTCAAGGTAGTCCTAGTAAACTTTTGTCTCAAAGTACAAATAACCATGATGAAGCGTGGGTCACTGTAATTTGACGAATATTCCTTGAAGTCCTTATTTTGTATATATATATATATATATATATATATATATATATATATAATGTTAATATTTTTATTTTTAAAAATTACTTTTATTATGTTCCTGGTTTATAAGTATTTCCAGAAAAAGAAAAAAACTACAATAGTTTATCTTAACTCTTTGACTTGTTCTAAGCAGAAATTATTATTGTTTTGAAATTTGGAGAGAAAAGATTCGCTAACTGAACTGTTGTTTGTTCCTGAACTGGAGGACTATGAGTTTGTGTTAGAAGTTGCATGCCACGAGATCCTCGTGCTTTCACCGTAACCCATGCTGATGGTGACGTGGCAGGGATGATATAGTTGTGCAGTGTTCCTGTGCCCTTCCTTCCCCTTTCTGGATTAGAGAAAAATAAATTGTTCTACAAATTTTAAAATTAAAAAAATTGACATTAAATAATAAATTTGATTTTTTTTTTAAGGAATATTTTAATCATTAAAAAGTAAACTTTCAATAGTTAATTATGATAACTTAAAAAAAAAAATCAAAGGGATGAATCTATTTCACTTTGGAAGAATATTTTTGTACAAGTTTGTACTGTATATATTAGTATAAAAAGATATTTGAAACTTCTTCAAAATTTTTTTTTAAAAAGTTATAAATTAAAATTAGTTTAAGTATAAGTACGATCTTCTTTGTTTACGTCAGTGTTGAGCGTTGAAACAAAGATATAACAAGCATTTCTGGCATATTTTCTTGTAACTCTTAAGCAAGCTTTTTTTCTAGCAATATTTGACACATTATACAAATGTGACCTACAAATACAAAGTGGAAATAAAGTAGGGTCAATCCTCAAGCCACCTATCTTTCTTTGTCGGGTTTTACAATGGATTGGTTGGTTTGTTTTCTTAATTTCTATTATTTTTATTGTGAATTTTTCAGGGCTGTTGTAGTGATACAAATGGCCCGTGTCATCCCACTGGCAAAGACACAATTGAATACTTCACTCTGAAAGATCTTTGGGACTGCTATTATGAATGGAGTGCGTATGGTGTTGGTACTCCTATGATGTTTGCAAGTGGTGACACTCAGATGCAATACCATGTTCCATATTTGTCTGCCATCCAAATCTACAGTAGCAAAGCTGTTGCAACAGCTTCTAGGTATGCAGAAAAAAACATTGTGCTTATGTACTGAACATGTCAACAAAATGGTGTGAGCCATCTTATTCTTTTGTAGGCTTCGGAGAGAGGATAGTGAAGGAGGGGAATCTGATTCCTGGAGTGAGGACAGTGGAAGTGATAAGCTATCTGTAACACCAAGTAACAATTCTAGCAAAGCATGGGATGTTGGTTCTTTAGATTCAAACTCTGACCATGCTGGTTCATGGACAACAAGGGGTAGTGACCTTTACTTACAGTACAATGAGACCTCTCCATATTGGCAGAGGGTTCCATTTACTGAGAAGGTAGCCTCTAACTTCTAAGTGGTATGATATTCATAACTTTTTATCAATGTTGTACAAATGGACGTCTTTTTATGTTCTCTCTACATGCTGCATGTCTGTTGATGTTTTTTGTTTCAGATAGCTGAGTTAGCTACAAGCCATCCGGCATTGATGACATTCAAGAGTGTGGATATTTCCCCGATAAGTTGGATGGCTGTTGCTTGGTGAGCAGAATTAGTTGTTTCTGTTGTCCTGAAAATTTGTTGTTCTTGAAGATGAACTTCATAACTTGGAAGTGAGAGCATCTGCTGATAAATTGGTCTTGCCTTTTTACTATATTAACTACTGATAGATAAAATGTGAAGGAAAGCTTTAAATTTTCCGATTAGCTTTATAAGAATAATTGTCTGGATTATTTTGTTGCGATCTTGATGGCATTCAAACATAACTTCACAAATGCTGATATTTTTTTTTTTTCCAAATGATATTGAAATGAAGTTGGGGGAAGAGTATTTTCTTGATCAACATCTGCTTCTGTATTTTTCATAATCATGCGTCTAAAAAGTTCACAATCAATTTGTTTTTCATCGACTATTTTGTGAAGTTTATATTTACTTCTAGTTAAATCTGTAGTTTCTGTTTGATTCCATGAGGGAGAATCTCACATTGTCTCGTTATGAATAGGTACCCTCTTTATTCCGTACCATGTCTGAAAAATAGAAAGGACCTGTCAAGCTTCCTCACTTTCCACACATTGTCATCTGTCCAAGGTATCTCTACGTAGTGATTTGTCTTCCTTCTCAATCAATGGATAAAGAAAATTAATAGAAAGGACCTGCTATTTCTTTTCCCATTTTGCTGAAGCAGTCTTTAGTCGAGTTTACAGTTATGTTTTTGTTTTGTTTTGCAGATTGTGCAAGAACATATGATGAAATTGACACGGCAAATAGTATAAATATTTTAGGTGGGTGGCGAAGAATTATAAGAGAGAAATATAAGAAACGAGAGGGTGGTTGTATATCTCTCTTTCCATTTGGGCTAGCTACTTACAAAATGCAGAAAAATATTTGGTCTAACCCCTCAAATAAAATGGTGTCCGATCTGTATAATGCTGCAGACTCACGGTTGAAGCTTCTGAACGTCGACCACCATGACTTCAACTTCTTCACATGGTGCCAACCTACGACTACTACCTAATACATTGGTTCATGTATGTCCAATGTAATCCAATTGTTTCAAATGCATCCTAACCAATTGTTCTTTACTGTACTTAGTATTAGTATGTGATTCTGACTTGGACTCATTAGAACTTGTCGTAGCTTAAAACATTGATAAAATGTACATTTGTGTTTAGTGGTTAGGTTTCTTTTAGAGATGAGATGAATGGCAATTTTTGGGCAAACTAATTGTTATCTCTTTTCTAATATGGCCTGAAAAAACGGATTATGCATACCTAGAAGTACATAAGCACACATAGGAGTACATAAGCACACAATCGATGAAATCCGTTGTCCTGAAAAAACGGATTATGCCGTGAATTCTGGAGACAAGCAAAAATAATTGACATGAAATCCACCAAATCAAAGTTTTTAAGATTGTGTCATTCTAATTTATTATTTCATCGATTCAAATTTTCTAAATTGATTTTAGACTTTTTTTTTTTACAATAATTCATGTTGATAAAAGATAATTTAATAAGGAATATCATATCGAGATCTAGATAAGAGTGTTGCGGTATCTTCCTTTAATCATAAGAAAATTATGGAATTGACACATTTCTGCTTATAGTAGCCTAAATTAGATTTCAATTTTTTTTTAATTTAATAAATGATATATTAATTTGACTATAAAGGTAATTTGAAACCTTCGATACTTCTTCACTTTACAAGGAGCGTGTCTTGTTCTTGTAGTCTATTTGTTATTTTTAGAAAAAGGTAACTAAGATTTGAAAATAGTTGAATAATAATAGCCGGTGAATGAGTGAACGTGTTTCTGTCACATCAACGCGCTTCCTTCCCCTCTCTTACTAACTTGCAAGAGACTCTACAGTCACCATCTTCCACTTTGCTTCTCGCTGGTCTGAAATGGCTACGGTTTTGGTCTTGGTTCTGGTGGGGTTTGGTCTCGGGGTGTTGGCCGTTGTTGCAGCGGAAGCTCTTGGGTTGTTATGGATCATGAAAAGGTTGCGGCGCAAGAGCAATAATGACGAAGCCTACTTCTCCTCCAAGACACTAGATACTACGCTGCTTGATCCCCAACAGTCTCTGGATTTTGCGTTTAGAAAGCAGGTTAGCACTAATTGATTCTCGCTTCGCGCGGAAATGGCCAAACTGAGAATGCGATCGCTCACTTGGTTTTATTATTACCGAGAAATCACGAAGTGGAAATAGTTATGCCTTCAAGGTTAGGTTAGCTTATTTCACGGGGAGAGTGTCGCGTTAAAAATGATTCATAATGAAAAAGCTTTAGTTACTTAGAAACATAGCTCTGTGAAAAAAGTAATTTTGGTGATTCTATGTCTATTTACTGATTATTACAAAATTAGTTATTGCAATTATCTCACTGATAAAATGGTTGAAATCCTTGGAAATGAAGTTTGGTGCCTAGTTTGGGAAAAAGTCAGGGTATCTATATGGTTTGTTTATTCTAATGTTTCTATGTTTCACATTTATGAGCTTTGCTTGGACAACTATGTTTATATGTATGGATAAAGATTGGTTTCAGGGAAACTATGTATTTGATTACGTCTGTTACCTTAAATTTATGAGCTTTTTTCAGGGTGTGGTTTGGGTTCTGGAACCTGGAAAAATTTCTAAACAATCAAGGGAGCAAAAACGGAAAAATGATCTCTTGGAGGTTGCTCCTGTTAAGATGTATGGACAAATCAAGGGTCAATCGCTTATTCTTAGAGAACCTGATGGTTTGCACACAACGATTGAACTCAAGGGCTGTGCAGTTCAAGCCGTGTCCGCATCAATACTTTCTTCAAGAAAATGGTAATGTGGTGTGGAGGGCTCCTCTATTGGGGGTATTATTTGGGTGACAGGTGACCGGCTTTTGACTTTAAATGCTTATGCATTATCAGGGCCGTTCCATGAGTTCCCAAGAAATGGCGGGGAGTTTCTTATTTTCATTATGCATGTGAAATCACTTTTGTCATCCTTTGGCAGTGTTACAGGTTGCAGAAATTTGATCGTACATTGATTACGCTAGAGTCACTGTTCCACTTTTATATGATTCACCACTTAGACAATGTAAAAGATGGGTTTATTTTTAGGGCTTTCCTGGTATTTATTTTGACATGGAGAAATATCATTTCCTTTGTGCCTTGCATAGTGCTTAAAATAAAAAGTAACTTGTGATTTGTGATAGTTTGGATTTTAGGTATTGTAACTCGTAAGAGAAATAATATTGGAAAGAAGATTTTTCATTATAACTATTGGTCATTGGTTGAGGAAGCTAGATGATTAAGTTCTTATTTGATTGGTGATGAATCTTACAGGGCAAAGAAGTTCCCTATCAAAGTGGAGAACACAACCTCTGTCATATACAATGGAAACAAAACTATTTATATATATCTTGACACTTCATGGGAGAAAGAAGCATGGTGTAAGGCCCTCTATCTGGCTTCATGTGATCAAAAGGAAAAAATCAAATGGTTTACCCAATTGGATGATGAGTTTCATAGTTATCTGACATCCTTGAACTCTGTATACCAGTCTTTTATGAAACCATCGGTTGGATCAAGTGTTGAAGTAATAGAAAGGGCTGGAAAGCCTGATGGTTCTTCCTCAAAGGTTCGACAATTTTGGAAAAGGGTTTCTAAAAGAACTTCCCGAGTTGGTTTGGAAAATATATCAACTCGATATTCACAGTCAGGTCATGAAGGGAAAAAGAACACTGAGAAGCTTCGGGCTTGCCAAGATGCAATTTTGGCTACTGGTTTGTTGAAGACTGCTTCAACATCGAAGCATCTAAAACCTTCCATGGTTGACAATGAGAAGTTTGGTATTGATGAAGGAACATTATGTTGGAATTTGTTGATTTCTCGGCTCTTTTTCGATGCCAAAGGAAACGAACAGTTGAAGAGATCCATGCAAGCAAGGATTCAGGTTAACCTTTTATACCCTTAGATGTTTTACATGTTTGTAGTTACGAAACAAGTTATACTTTAATTTGCTTCACGAATTCGTGTCGATACTTATGTCTATCCAATACTCTAGGATACTTCACTGGTACTTTTCAATGAAATATCCAAATCTATAATGCATTATTACTTTTATTTGTTTCACGTATCTAATATGTATACATTTGGATATTTCACGGAAATGTATTGGTTAAATGTCCAAGCTTTTGAAACATTTATATCCAATAAAAATACAAGAAACATACAACTATATGTAATAAAGAAACATAAATATTATTTCTTCATAAACCAAAGAAGAAAATTGTTATTTATGAATTATTTTAAAAAAGTAGTGTGATTAATATTGCTATTCTTGTATGTAAATAATGGAAGTATTTTATAATGACAATAATTTATAATTTTTTATTCTGACAATGTCTAAGAAATGTGATTTGAAATTTGAATTGCATAATTGGAGTTTTATATTATTTATGTTTTACGAATTCTTATACATTTTTTAAATATATATGTATGCTGTTTTTTTTTAATAATTGTATTGTTGTATTGGATACGAATCATATTGGATATGTATCGTATTTATGCATCACAAGTTTAAAGTGAGTTTGTTATGTGAAAAAAAAAATGTATCATTTTGTCTAGGTATCAATTTCTAGCAACCTATCTATGTTAATTTTTATTTATTAAAATTGATAATATTAGCTTATCTTTCTGAATGAAATCCTTTCCATTGCTTGTAGTTCCTAAACCTCAAGTTTACCTGCACAAGCATGGCTATGTGGAGCTTAAAAAAGTTAATTAATGCATGAGATCCTGTACTTTCTAAGTCACCTAGAGAGTAGTTTTTGACACTTTAACTGATATGGTTGATGTAAAATCAGACTATCATTCCACATTGGTTGACCCAAGTGGTAGTGACATGTCTCTGAACCAAGTGGTTTAGGGTTTGAAACTTGGTGATGCCACTTTGGGTAAGGAATAAACCATGTTAGGAGAGGACTACCCACATTATGTGCGAATTGTGTGCGCTCAAGGTGTCTGACGATATTAGTCATTGCTTTTGGTCAAGAATAATCTTTATCAATACCATGGTTACCAAAAAAGATATAAAATATGATCACTTCTGTGTGTTTACTGAGAACCCTCCCACAGCAAACTTCTAATATTAAAGAGGTTTTTTTCCCTCCATTTTTGCAGAAAACATTGTCCAATATGAGAACTCCTGGTTATATTGGTGAAGTCATTTGTACCAATATCAATACTGGTAACGTTCCACCTTGCATTGTGGGAATGAGGGTTCTTCCTATGGAAATGAGTGAGGTATGGGCCGTAGAAGTTGACATTGAATATTCTGGAGGTGCACGATTAGAGATTGAAACAAGGCTTGAGCCTCGTGAACTAGAGCTGGATTCCGGTACAGAAGACTCGAATCCACAGCCAAACAGTGCTGCAGTCCCTTCAGATCTTCTTGAAGATTTTGAATATTTTGAAGAGCAATTGAATTTTGCAGAAAGAACGAATGATTTACAAGAGCATAAAGATGATGGTGATTGGAACTCTGGTTAGTACACGAGTCTTATAATATCCAATTATATATGAACTTTGTCTTTGTCTTTTGAGTCATATCAAACATAATTATTTATCTTCCCTTTCTTATTTCCTGAAATCTATCTTGAACTAATTGGTTGTCTCGGAGGATTTCCACTGTATTTTCCGCCTAGGGTCATACCACTTTCTAATTTGATTGCACATCCATGTTTGCTTCATTTACTGTAACTTTCACACATTATAAACTAATTACACAGGTTGACGAGATTATGGGCTAGGGCTTCCAAATCCCATGCCATACCATCTGTGGTGCTTTTTTGAGTTTAAATATTTTCAAATTAAAATAATGATAAAGAAGTTGTATGCTTTTCATAAGGACTACCCCCTCCCTTTCTGGGAGATTTATAAATTGTTTAGATTGATATTGTGATGTGTATCTTGTTTTTATCTTAGCAGATGTTTCTAAGAGCTTTAAGAGCACTATGCCTTTGTTAAATCAAGGATCAAGATGGAAATCTATATTAAATTCCGTTGCCAAACAGGTTTCACAGGTATGCTCTGTTTATTATTCCATTGGTTGCTTCTTCCCACTGCATATTTTGCACTCTATATCTTCATTATTGAAGTTTTCCTACTTTGGTAATGTTGTATGGATATATTAAATGGCTTGTTGTTGAAGAGTCACGTTCACTGTAGTCAACCCTTGTTTGACCTCAGTTGCAGTCGCATTTGGGGTTGTTGCCTTTGTTGCAACTTCAAGGATTGTGACTTAGTGACCGTTTTCTCTTTACAAGGCAATAATTCTACGGCTTGTGCACATCATCTAATTTTAAATAATGATTCAACCATGTTACATTTCTTGCTATCATATATTTTGTTGTATGGTTCAAATTTGTTTAAAGACCTCTTGGATAATTTCTTTTCCATAAACATATACCCGTCAAAAATCAACTACCATTTTATCATTCATCTATCATTTTTACAATGGTTTAACTGTACATTCTGTCATTCAACTATCATTATTTTTGCAAGTTTTACCAACCAAGTTTATTTCCCGCATTTTACCATCAATTTTTAAAATTTTGTATATTTTACCACCCCAAGATTCTTTCCCGTACATATTACCATTAGGTTTTTAATATTTTATGCATTTTCCATCATGTTGGTAACAAGTGGACATTGTTTTTGCAAAAATAGATAATAAAACGAGTTTGCTTTAGGGACACGTTATATATTTTACAAACGAGTTTGCACGAAAATTAAAACATAATTACAAATGTTTAAGGAAAAAAGTTAAGTGGTAGAATGTATTAAACTTCTATAATAAAATAATAATGTGATTAATAATGGTTCTTTGATGTTCTAGAATTTCAAAGGCTTTGTTAAAACTTAAATCACTGTAAATTTCCATTAAGGTTTTTTAAAATTTGCACAACAAAAAGAGAAAACTAAAAGATGTAGTTTTCAGTGTTTCCTGTACAAATATTTGTAAATAAGATCCAAAACAAGGTGACGGTTTCCTGTACAAATATTTGCTTAGATTTTGCAAATTAGTTTAGTTTTACTTCTTGTTTTTTATTTTCAATTTCTTGTGGCTCACGAAAAAACTGTGTTTATTCGTACACCACTTTTCACTCGCGCCCACCTCCACATCTAGCACCACCCTTGACTTTAGGATAGCTTCCCTGTTAGGTGCCTCTCCCCAACTTCGAAGACGTGACTTGGATTGTGCCAATGTCATATCAGATGTCATCGCTAACAGCTCCAAAGCCAGACGGAAACCACTAGCTAGCTGGCTTGGTAGGTGTCTGGTTGCAGTGATGAAGGGTTCTATTGGTTTTTTGTAATAAAAACACACAAGGAAAATAAAAATGGAAACAGCATTTTCTTTTTCAATTTTTGTTCTGTTTTTGAAAACATTTTCTAAGAAAAGGTTTTTGTAATCTTAAATATAATTTATTTTCAGCTTCAAATTTTGTTTTCTTTGAAAATGAAAATAGAAAATGCTCGAAGTAAACACCCTCTAAAGTTTTTTTTTTTCATACTTGCCTAAATGTCAAACTAGGCAACCCATTAGGCATTCTCATGATTCATAGGACTAATTGGCACTATATACTGAGAGCAAACGGCAAACACCAATATTATGCAAAAAAGAAAATTGGTTGAGTAAATTTAACTTTTGCTTTTAATGAGTTTTGTTAAATTAATATGCATTGATCAATGTTTTTTACTCTTTTTTGAACTTTTTGACAATTTACGGTCACTGGAAAAGTTCAGGATTTTCGTATTGTTTGCATGTGTAGAGTTTAAAAAAATGTTGTTTTGTTCTCAAAGTAACTGGTTATTTCTTATCAAAAGGTTCCTCTCTCCTTGGCAATAAGAGTTGCTTCCCTTAGAGGGACATTGCGCTTGCATATAAAGCCACCTCCCTCTGATCAATTGTGGTATGGTTTCACATCAATGCCAGACATTGATTTCAACATGGAATCATCTGTTGGAGATCGTAAGATAACAAGTGCACACATTGCTTTATTCCTGGTCAATAGGCTAAAGGTACCACTGGCTCTCTTTCCATCTGATTTATAAATTACTGAAAGAATTACTCTTCCCTTACCCATTTCATTTGCATGTGATTTTTTTAAAATATTTAGGAATGTTTAATCATATCATTATTAACTAATATATATAAAGATCATTAAATTTTCTTTTTCTCCCCCATCTGTCAATTTATATGGATTTTTTTTAAGTGCCTAAATATTCTCTTATTATCCATTCTCCTAAGAGAGTAGTCATAGTGTTCTGACTTTATTAACATCTTTACTAATAAATAGTGAGAGGATTGATGATAATTTGTGCTTTCAATATTTGAGAATTGAATATTTTCTTTATATTTTTCTTGTAGGAGTACAGAGTGTTTTCCTTCTCTGTTACATCTTGTCACCCCTTTCAGTAAATCCCTTAATAGTTGTGTTAGGAAACTCAGTGAGGGACAACAAAAAACAGAGCAAGAAAATGAGAAAGAACGCTTTGACAGTGTTTATTGAATTACAAAGACCTAAGGAGAACATTATCCTTCCTAGGTTTTCCCTTCACAAAGGGCTTCCCTTTATACAACTGAGCTAATGCTCAGTTTATCAAATGATGACAAAACAGAGCTAAAGTACACTCTTTACCCTCTCCTCCTATTTAAGCTAATTCCTTACCTAACTTCTACCACCTAACTATTGTGTTTTCAAAAGATACCTTGTTTCTTTTTCTCTGGAGTTTGTTTACAGAGTGCATTTCCTCTGTTATATCATTTCTCCTCTCATAATACTGATAGAAATGTATTTATCTTTAGAAACTACTATGATAGCATCACAATGTGTTTAAATTTTTATCTCTATAGAAAAGACAAGAGCAGTTTTTGCTGGCAAGCTGACTTTTGTTCTGCCCCTGCAGACAGGAATTCGGGAAACTATGGTGCTCCCTAATTGTGAAAGTGTATGCATCCCATGGATGTTAGCAGAAAAGGATGATTGGGTTCCTCGAACTGTTGCTCCGTTCATATGGGTTAACCAAGAATTTAGAAACGAAACTTCCACTTCAATTTATACCAATAATCAAGCTTCTGGTGGAGTGAAAGCTAGTGGTGCACGCATCTCAAGTAATGATTCAGAGCACAAACAACAAATTTCAACAAGTGCTGAATCTAGTCGAGAAGCAACTAGGAAATCATCAGATTCTCTAGCACTTCCATTAAATTCCTCTGATTCAGTAACATCAGAAAGCAGCAGGAGTTTGGAAGAGCTGGATACACCATTGTTAGAGAATGACAAACCTCAAAAAAATTTAGATTTGAAAGAATTTAAGACATCATCGTTACAAAATGACAAACCACTTGAAACTACTGAACAAAATTTGGAGAATAATTCTGAGTCTCAGTCAGAACATAGAAGTGCGGTCATGGAGAAACGAAATCATTCTATTGAACAGGAAGATGGACTGCCAAAAAAAATGGGGAGAAGGGAAAGGATGCTTGATTTGGGAAAGAAAATGAGTGAGAAATTGGAAGAGAAAAGGCGTCACATTGAAGAAAAGAGCAGACATATTGTTGAGAAGATGCGAGGACCATAAGAATAAGAAATATTAACCAGGTAAATGACAGAATGTATTTGTTTATGATCATTCATATTAAAGACTAGTACCATCATACGACAGTAGAGTGTCGGGTATCAGATCTTGTTTCATAGAATGAGTTTTATATTTTCAAGAAGCTCATATGATAAAAATTGAAATGGAATCAGATACATAATATCCTAGCACAGTAAAATTAGTTAAATTCATGTATGTAATTTTGCCATAGCCACCCCCTATAGATTCATTTAAGTAATTCTATAGATTCATTTAAGTAGTTCTATAGATTCATGCTCACCCCTATATATATGAGGAATATCTTATTTTATTATTTTGTATACAATTCATGATAAAGGTCATTGTTATTGGCTAGCTGCCTCCAAGTTGAATTCGGAAAATATTAAATAAGCATACAACCCATTTTTGGGGATGTGTTTGTGGAAGAAAAAGAGAGAAAAACATATTGAATAATTGTTCAGTGTGGAGAATGTGATATGAATGAAAGATATGCAAGAAATAAATTAAAGAAAGGATATCATTTTCATCTTTTCTTTTATCCTACGTTACTCATGATGCATCAATATATATGAAGCTGCATTTTCATTTTACTGGATACATGTATCATTGCATAATAACACTTGTTGCAAGCTTGAGTAATTAAAGAAATTTTAAACCCATTATTACTGATATTATTTTTATATTAAATTTTAGATAGTTCTTAACGGTTTTCATCTTATTTAATACCAATCATATTACAAAAGTGATGGTTTAAAAATGAATGGCAACTTTCTTTTATATAGAGAGAAATAAATAATAATAATAATAATAAATGACTGACAACTTTCTTTTATATATGATTGAATTTGATAAAAAAAATTGATTAGATAAATTCGGAAGTTTTAATAGTTTATTTTCTTTTAATATCAATATAAATGTTGATAACTGATAAATAAGTTAAAACAAATTAATGCAATGTGATTCAAAAAATTCAATAACTAATCGAGTCATGATCATTAAAAAAAAAAACTCATAATAACTACAAATTAAAATAAAATAGTATGAGTAAGGATGAATTTTATTTTATAAAATAAATAAAAAAATTTAAATATATAGATTACATAAAAAATCAAAATTGCAAATTATATTATAACTTAGCCCACAAATTATGTTTTAGACTTCTGATAAAAAAAATTATATTTATAATAAAAATTTGATTTTTTATTTGTTTACTTATTAAGAAATAATTTAAAGAATTAGAAAGATAAAATAAAATAACTAAGATGATAAGAAAAATCCTAAAAAAATAATGCATATAGTAAGTACCCTATAAAACGAAGTATATTACAAACTTGTATAAGTGCATTATATAACAAAATATATTATAAATCATTTATATGTATATGACAAGCCATTTAATTAGTCATAACATGTTAATTTCCTAAACTTATAAATTATGATACATAAAATAAATTATGAACTAAAAATCGCATAAAACAGTAACAAGAATACAAGTTTATAAGTTTCAAATTTTTTTCAAAAATTTAAAATTTGGATTGAAAGTGTGTTAGCAAATAGTTACTGTGCAAGTGTGTCATAAGCTGCTACTGAAAGAGAAACAAAACAAAATATAAAAACTATAGATAGGTTTTGAATTAATTTAATATTTTAGAAAAAAAATTCTGAATAACATTTTAGAAAAAGAAAAAAAATCTAGGGAAAAAAAATAAAAAATTATATTAGAAACGAATGATGTGGTGAAACAAAGAGTTAGAGTGAAGTTTTATGACAATATGATGTAACAATTGGTAAAACTTCACCTACTAATTTTTAATAATTAGTGAAACTTTGTGTACTATGTTAAAAATCTGTGCCTAAAAAATTATGTAATAATCCTAAGAGTAAATGGATTGTGTTTATTTTAGTGTAGGTAGAATAGTAAGGGACTAGGGTTTCACTTTATTGAAGAACAAGATCCACACACTAACAAGGTTTTAGTGTTGATACTCAAAGTCCAAACCAACATTAAAGAAAAATGCATAAACATAAACTCAGATAAAGAGAAGAAAAACAAAGGTTTAGGTTAAGCCTATTTCATAACACCAAATTAACTAGTAATCTTCAGCAGGCAAAGGTTGGTGAGGAGGAGGATCAATTGGGACCATAATATATTCATACAGGACTGCTGCTAGGGCTGCCCCAATTAATGGGCCCACCCAGAAGATCCAGTGGTAGTTCCACCTCCAGCCCACCAACGCAGGCCCAAAAGCCCGAGCAGGGTTCATGCATGCTCCATCAAAGGGCCCACCAGCAAGGATGTTTGCCCCTACAACGAGTCCAATGGCTAAGGATGCAACTGTGCCAATGGCACCCCTCTTAGGATCAATAGCAGTGGCATAGACAGTGTACATCAGACCAAATGTAAGCGCAATTTCAAGTAAAAGACTGTGAAATGCTCCAACCCCTGGTGATACACTGAATCCTTCTGGTCTCTGTAACACCCAACCACAACATAGTCAGTGGTACTACCAGTATGATTTCTCATTTTTGCGGTTTTTCTAAAACAAAACTAAGTCTTGTCTTCCATAATTTACATGAAACTAGTTATTTATCATCAATTTAATAAGTGTCATGTTAAAATCGGTTGACCAATCTTTGTGCAGCATATAAAGAATTAAACATTCCAATTTTCAAAGTGTCATGTTAAAATTGATAAAAAACTTTTCTTTTAATCATACAAGAAACAATAATAGAGAGGAAGGTGGATTTGATGTAGCATACCATGTTGTTAGTGACAAGCCTCAACAAGAGAGCAGCAACAACAGAACCAAGGATTTGAGCAACCCAGTAGTAAAGGGCTTTAAGGACAGAGATCCTTCCACCAAGAAGAGCACCAAAAGTGACAGCAGGGTTCACATGTCCACCAGACACATGTGCGCTGGCAGCAATAGCAGCAAATAGAGCAAAGGCATGAGCCACTGCAATCACCACTAACTCACTAGCTGATGATCCTGGTTCCTTGTAAATTTGGTCTGCAACCATACAATTCAATCACACATTCATTACACCACATAATATATACATATTCATACTCATATATAAAAGCATGCATGTAACAAGATAGGTTATAATATAAGTTTTGAGTGTGTATATATATGTATGTATGGTACAGACTCAAAGCAAGGACTGAGCCTTCTCCAACAAAGACAAAGAGGCAAGTGGAGACGAGTTCAGCCATGGCGGCTCTGATAGAGTCTGGGTGACTAGCCTCACTCATCCTTCCAAACTCATAGTTTCTTGATGTCGCCATGATCTCACAAGAAACCTTTCTGTTTCACTTTCTCTACCAACTGATGAATATGAGATTATGAATGACCCAGATGGTCTTTCAAGACCTATGCTGTGACCCTGATCCAATAATTGGAAGAGCTTACTCAATTCACAACACTATTCTTTGTTCACTTCATATTCACACAAGGGCTTAAATTATATGCAAGGCTTGGAAGAAGGTGGGGGTCACTTAATTTGCATGGATGAAATGTGGAGTGCCACAACTTACATGAGCCAAATAAGGGTTGGAGCTGCGAGAGACACCTAAGTTTTTGAAAAACTGAAAACTTGGCACGTGGAGATATGTGTTGACTCCTCCATGCAAAATCATATCTGTTTGCTTGCAGTGTTTATGCTCATCCCTTTTCTCAATTACGAACAAACGACAAATTTGTACAGTTTCCCACCTTCTTTTTCTTTACAATAAATAATGTTATTTATCCAATTGCATAAAGAAAATAATTTAATTTTAAATAATTGTATTGATCACCACCTACTTTATAAAGAATGAATTAAATTAAAGATAAAGATTAATATTTTAAATATAAAACCTATTAAAATATTAATATTTTATAAATAAAAAACTTATTTATTAACACTTATCATAAAAAGATGTTATATAAGTTTCATTGCAATTTAATTTTTTAGTTCATAGTAATTTGTATGTTTATTATTCCAAAATAAAATATTTATCTAACATTTTCCTTCTTTTTATAATTGATGTAACTTTTGCTTCATGTTCTCTATATTTATATATTTTTTAAAATAATCTAAAATAATATTCTTATTTCAAAATAACTGATGTTGAATAATCTAATATATATCAATTCATATATAGAGAGATTTTTATAGATTAATATTTTAATTTCGAAGCAATTTAATTTTTATATTTAAAATTTTCTATTTTTACTCTCTCCAAATTAAAACATACTCCATTTCATGCTTTATGTTTCTTATTCAAGTATACTGCAACAAACGTTGATTTAATGTTTATGTTTCCTGTCATTTTATTTGTAAAATGTAAAAGAAATAAATGACGGATTAAAATTTATTATTTTAAAATATTTTTCATTATTACTTGAATACAAAATTATTACATTATTTAATTTTTTAATGAATATTTATTTAAGATAGTAATTCATTGTGCCATATTTCAAAATACAATTTTAACAAAATGGCTGTGAAGTTACATTAAAAAAAATCACAACAGAACTTTATTTTCCCTACCAGTGGAGAGAATTGACCCTTGGGGAGTGAACTCCAATAGATTGTGTTGCATAGTGAAGCAAAACAAGTTTAGTGATGTCTCTCCTTCTTAATTCTCTTATGCTGTCGCAGCCATCTACATGGGTTGGTTATCTTCTTCTTCTATGTTCTCTTTCACCTCATTTCGTTACCCTCTCTAATTAATTTAATTTAATTTATAGGGCTGGAAATCGATGCAAGAATCTAGGTTATTGTCACATGGGCGAAGCACAAGAGGAATTAGCAGAACCATCTGTAGAACTGGGAAAAGGAATGGAAATGGGATTAAAGCCTTTTTCTTTAATCCTGAACAGGACCCCATAGTCAAAGAAGCTCTCAAGGTATGAATGTCTGTTTTTCTCACCATTTGTATATATTATTTGTCCCAGATATTCAAATTTTTGATTGGCAGTTAGTATTTGATGACACTTCAGTGACCCTCTTATTTATATTATTTGTCCGAGTGATTCAAGGTTTTGTCTGTAGCTTAGCACATATGTAATGAAAGTTTTTTTCCGAAGTGAAATTGACTTTAAAATGAACAATCAAAGGTGTATCTGCTCTTCAGATTTAATCTGCTGCCATCTTAATTAAGTCAAGGATGTATGGACACTCTTAGAGAAGCCATCTTCATCTTCAATTGGCTTTAAAGTGGTTGACTGTGAGGAAGAGGATACACGGTCTTAGTTAGACTTAATACAATCTGTGGAATATTTTTGGAACAAAGATTGAAATTGTGCTTACATTTTACTGTCTCATCTTGCGAAGAAGAGCCATTTGGTAGCCTACATACTTGGGAGACTAGAATACTAGATGCTCTTGCTGGTGAAAGATCTGTTGAGTGTTTGTGGTTTACTGGTGGGACTAGACACGATTATAAAAGAAGAACTAACATGTTATTCCAGAGTTGTGTCATGTGACCTTTGTTGCCAATTTCAGAAGTCAGGTTAAGCTTAATTATTGCCTATAGTCAAAACACTTTTACCACTGGTTCTTAAGCAAATGAGTTATTATTAGATAAAACTGGAGGAAAAGTATCAAGCAAGTTTACATCAACCTATTGAAAATATGACATTCAATTATCAATGAAATAGATTTTTGTATACTACTGGTACATTCGGTGATTAAATTATCTCCAGATCGGTATTAACAGTTATTTCTGCATCTTACAGTATGATATCAGTATCTCGTCTTCTAATTTTTTAATCACGTAACCACTGAATGTGATGCAATTTGTTTTGGATGGATAATTGAAACCGGCATCTCTAATTTGAGCGTGAACATTTTGGATGCTGAAAGATATATCAAGCATTCGCAGACATGCTGCTGTCAATCCTAACAGATTGGCAACTTATATATATATATGTGTGTGTGCGCGTGGGGGGGGGGGGGGGGAGGGGCATCTCTAATTTGAGCGTGAACATTTTGGATGCTGAAAGATATAACAAGCATTCGCAGACATGCTGCTGTCAGTCCTAATAGATTGGCAACTTATATATATATATATCTGTGTGTGTGTTACTTAAATTTATCTTTTATCAATAGGTATTATAGTTCTGCTTTTTTTATATTTTCCAATGCTCAATTCATCTGTGAAAAGGCTTGTTTGACTTTTCCTTACATAAATTTATCTTTTATCAATAGGTATTATAGTTCTGCTTCTTTTATATGTAATTAGGGGACAAAGATTTTCCAATGCTCAATCTTGTGTGTGTGTTTTTGCCAATAATTACTCACACATGAACAATTTGTGATGTTAATTATTTATAATATTGCATATATGATCTGTTTGGAGAAACTTTTCTGTAAACGCTTCTAGGAGAGACAAATAAGAAAGAAAATTGAAATTGACTTCTCTATAAGTTAAAATTAGGCTTTCATTAGCTGATTTGTATAAGCTATTCTTATTACCTTCTCTAAAATCTGATTTTTAATTCATGCATATTCTAATGTTAGTTTATGGAGAAGTTAAATTTATTTTATCTTTTTCTTCTATTAAGTGCTTATGGAGAAGTTTTCTCCAAATAGACCATGCAATTTATGCTTCATGAACATGCCTTTTATATTAAGTAAATTTTATGACTGAGTTGAAATGCAATTTATTAAGAAAGCTACAAATTCCTGCCCAGTTCATGGGTAAATATTTTATTGATTTTACTCTGATTTTATCCACTAAAAAACATACAACAAAAAGTTGGTTTTATGTTGCTCACTTGAAATAACGATGCTTTATTACTTTGTTAAAAGCCTACTGCAACAATCTCAACGCAATGTGTAGCTGTTGGTATTCCTTGACTCCTGACATTTAGTTAATTTGTATTTTTTCGCAATACTATAGGCCCAAAAGCATTCTACTCTGCCACAAGGATGTTCATTGGTTGGCATTTGAAAATTTGACTTGTTTTTGACACCTTTGTTATTGCTGTAAATGCAGGAACCAGTGGCATTTTTGGGTGGAATATTTGCGGGTGTTTTAAGGCTTGATTTGAATGAGGAGCCTCTCAAGGAATGGGTTACTAGGACTGTGGAAGCTGCAGGTATTAGCGAAGAAGAAGTGAATACAGAGGAGTCAACAACTGAGGCAGCTCCTCGAGAGATTCAGATTGAATAACAATTGCAATTGTTTCTTCTGTATAAAAATTTTATAAAACTTGCATAGGATTGTTATGCCAACATAGCAATGAAAAATGGTTCAATTGGTTATGAATTATTATCTTTGAATTTACAAATATGAGATGGACAACATCTCTGTTCCTGTCTCTTCTTCCATTAAAGATGGTAGATTTTAGCATTCGAACTGGTTGTGATAACTTGCTTGATTCGGTATCATAAAGTCTCTGTCTATTGTTATGCCAGCTAAATTTTATCCTCAGACATAAATAATGCTTTCCATTATTGATATTTGGACACCATTTGTTTAAACCTGCTATACAACTTTCAAAATACTTTTTACCTAGCTTTATGTTGATATAATGGTAAAGTAAGTTGTTTGTCATGTAGCTTAGTCTTTGAAAGAGTTTGCAGGTGGTTATTTAATTTATTGAGAATTCTGTGCGCGGGCTATCCATTTTAAATTTTTTTAGCTCTATCTAGAAAATTTCTGAATACTAAAGTCAGAGGTGGCTTCAGTCAAAGGCAATTGTTGTCTACACAATATATTCAAAAACAAGCTTAGGAGTTGTGCTGAATAAGCTTGCTTTTGTGTAACCACTATAATTCCTGATTCCGACAGGCATGCATAACAAACTACCTTCCTAGATGTGTAGTTGTATAAGACACAATTGAAGTCAACTAATTGCTTGGTTAAGTTTTTGTTACGACCCAGTGTATTTACCTATGTACATGATGTCTTTTTGTAAAGTGTAAAAAGTAGCCTTAATGTGTAAGTAAGGTTTCCTTCGTTGTAAAGGAAGTTTAAAAGAACGTAAATACGTCTATCTCCTCATTTGTGGCAAGAATTACCAGCTCTTGCCATGCATTTCTTATTGTCGAAATGCTGATTCTTGGTGCATAACGCATTGTTGTAAATTATCTCTCACAAGAATAAAGTGGCAAAATCAGTAAAGTGCAAAAGTTCTATGAAGACTAATCTACTCAACAATAAGTAGTATCGTTCATATAGCTTAATTCTCACGTGTCGGTCAACCTGCATCTTCACAGGTGTCGTAGCATTGATGAAAGAAAATGTAAAAAGAAACTCTTGTATCTGACGCAACGCAACACAACAGTGTCAATATGTAGATGAACTACCACCGATCTATTTCGGTAAATAACATGCAGTTTGTAGGTGAGGAAGGTAACCACACCACTGTACCTTTTCGTATTTAGAAGTCAAATAAGCTTGTATATAGGAGCAACACAAGCTAGAAATACAACTGTGCTTGCCATCACAAAATTTGAGAGAGAACAGCACCCAGTAAATTACTTGTCTTGTATTCATGGCAGATCATCAGAAACTTAGGGTCCACCCTATGGAGGGGGAAGCAGCAGCTCCCCCAACTACCCCATTGGTACCGCCAGGCTCCTCAAGATCAGAAAAGGGTATCCCTTTACACCATCCTCCACTTCTACGTTCTGTGCCAGCAGTATACCCTAAACCACAGAAAAGAAGCTGCTGCTGCAAGTGCATGTGTTGGACAATAAGCTTGTTTTTCCTCCTCCTCCTTATCTTGGCTGCAAGTGTTGGAATCCTTTACCTAGTCTTCAAACCAAAACTTCCAGATTACTCAGTTGACACCCTGAGGATAAGTGATCTGAGGCTTAACTTTGACATGAGTCTGTATGCAAAGTTTGATGTGAAGATCACAGCAAACAACCCAAACAAGAAGATTGGCATCTACTATGAAAAGGGTGGAAAGTTAAGTGTGTGGTACACAAACACAAGGCTTTGTGAAGGATCACTGCCCCAGTTCTACCAAGGTCATCAGAACAAGACAGTGCTCAATGTGTCCTTGAGTGGTCAAGTACAGTCTGGAAGCACCTTAATGACAGCACTGCAGCAGCAACAGCAGACAGGACGCATTCCGTTGGATCTGAAGGTGCATGCACCAATAGCCATCAAACTTGGGAGGTTGAAGCTGATGAAGGTCAGAGTCTTGGGAGAATGCATGTTGGTGGTGGATAGCTTATCATCTAATAATCTCATAAGCATCAAGGCTAGCAACTGCAGATTCAGAATGAAACTTTGATCTCCATTGTTAGAGGGTTTGCCTTGCTTCATCTCAGTTGTTTTTATTCTTTTTTCTTTTAGGATTGGAAGACTTTTTTTAATTATTTCATGAATATTTTTTGAGTTCTAGATTTTGGACACTCCATAAAACGAACACCCCCATTTTTTTTTCTTTTTTATTACAAAATATCATCAGATATTATCTCTGTATTCTTTTGTCTCGTTTACTTCTTTCTCTTCTGCGAGTGTCTATCAGCATGGAATGTCCATCAAACATTTTTCATATTTCTTACACAGCTATTGCTGCAGCTCCATACAACTTTTTTGTTATCTTTTATTTTTATCATTCTTGATTTTGACAGTGTATCCACTGCCTGATTTGATGAAGTGGATAAACGTTTGAAGATTCATTGACAAGAATGTTCTACAAATCACCTACTTAAGATTGAAAACAAAAGAATAGAAACGGCATAAATTAGTCAAACTTCTTCCAAACGAAAGATTGGATTGAAGAAAGTGAAAAGGAAGGCTGGAGAAAACGTGATCGATTCATACACCATGCAAATCTTTTGATGCTGATGAATCTTATAAATCCTCATTGCCAAATTATCATGTATTACTGCACGACTCAATAATAACTTTTTATTTTAGGGGGCTTTTGGTACGTTATGTTTCTTAATACCATAAACATATTTGGTATGTTTACGATATTTTAAAAAACAAGATAAATAATTATAAAAAATGAAAAATTTATTTTCAAAAATAGATCACATTATCCAATTTAAAATTACTCCTTGTGTTTGATGTATGTAAAAATAATTATTCGTAAATGTACCAAAAAAAATGACCAGACGTAATTTTTTTTAATATAAAATAATACACCCAAATTTATACTGAAAATTTAATGGAAATTATTCAAATCCTTACTATTAAGTTAACCTAGTTGATATGTATACTAATATTTTATTTAATGACTTGTACGTAAATGATTACGTACGCTGTTAAAACAATTATATTATAACATAAAAATAAATGTTAGTGTAATTTTATTGTGTTAACGATACATTAAAAGAGATACACATAAATTAATTAAAAGCTAAAAATTCTCCATTTTTTAGTCTACAAATAAAAAAAAAAGTATATTTTAGTTCTTAAAACAATTATTCTCAAGTTGATTCTTCCTATTTACCATATTCATAAAATTCTCCATTTTTTTTATCAAGCTTGCTAATTTCAATAAAACCATGTTTTTTCATGAAAAATCTCTTATTAAATTTAAAATTTAATGTCGTTATACTTTACAAAATAATAGAATATATATATATATATATATATATATATATATATATATATATAGTGTATTTTATAAACTTATATGAACTCCAACATCTTCTTTAATTGTTATAGTTTGATATTTATTGAATTTTTTAAAGATACTAAAAAAAAAATTATAATGTCGATATTTCATATCATCTTTAAATTAATTTCAAATATTTTAAAGAAACACTATAATAAAAAATAACATTGTATTACATTTATATTGTTAATTACAAAATTCAAAACATAATTTATCTATTAAAAATATGAGATAAAATCCAAAAGAAAAACCAGTATAAAAGAAAAACGAAGACACGTGAATTGAGCACTAGGCATTGATTGAGATTGGGGTGATCGAATTTGAAGGAGGAGGTGAAGTGGTGAAGTGTGGAGAAGGATTAGGGTTTGTGTGTGTTTACAAATACACAGATAGAGGAGGAGAAGAAGGATTAGGGTTTGTGTATGCATAAATACAAATAGATAGAGCAGAAGAAATTTCGATTGAGGGAAAAAATGGGTAGTGAAGAGGATTCGATTGAGCAAAGCGTTGCGTCCCGTCGCGAGAGACTGCTAGCCCTCAGAGCAGCTCAGGAGTTGTCCAGTGCTCCCGAACCTGAATCCGAACCCGAACAACCTAAGGATAACGGCGATGGTGAAGAAGAAGATCAACATCAAGAGTGAGTATCTATTTTGACTTCTCTTTCTTTGATTGCATACAGAAATGAATACTCACTGTTCTTGAAATTCCGTTGCAGAATGAAATTCCGTAACTACGTTCCTCATGACAAGAACCTTCAGGAAGGGAAGCTTGCCCCTGCGGTGCTCCCGAAGTTCGAAGACCCTGTCGATGTGCCTCCACCCGAACCTCAGGCCCAGGAGGTACAACTCTACTGCGTGCTCTGTTTGATGAATCCATCATTGTTTATCTCTGTCTCTTTGTTTTCTAATTTTTTTTTATATAAAAATAAAATTAAATTAGGATCCGTTTCTGAATATTGCTCCGAAGAAACCTAACTGGGACCTGCGGAGAGATGTGCAGAAGAAGCTTGATAAGCTGGAGAAGCGAACTCAGAAGGCTCTCTATCAACTAATGGGTGCGTTTACCGATGTTGCTATTCCTTAATTGTGTTGGTCGATGATAGATATCTGTCATATGCGGAATGGTTATGGTATTTTTTTCGTAGTTTTGCTAATTTTCTATAATACCTTGTTTCCTGACATGAATCTTTCTGCCATTTGCAAATACTGTCCGATGGTTTCTATTAATGCTGGAAAACTAAGCTATTTGTCGTTGAGTTTGCATTGAGTTTCCCTTTTCCCCTAAATCATTTATTTGTCTCGTCAACTTTGCCCTATATGTTAATTCCTGTTGATAGATTAGCCAAATTATTTGTTATTTTCTTCCCCTCAATTTGCGTTTTCTATATGCTGCATTTAAGAAAACTTGTTTAGTTCACTCCTGGCTACTGTTTACTTGCATCCAGTGGGTTGATCTTTAGCAAAACGGCATATCAGTTGGTGAGCTAAATGATAAGAGATTATTTTGGTCTCCAAAACTTGCTCGAGATTAAGGGAAAGACGGAAGGAAGAATAGAAATACAATAGGTGTTTTTCTCTCTTTTTTTTTTCCAAATAGGAAGACCATAATGTGATGACTGTGATGTCATTTGTCTCTTATAGGCAATTTATGGTAGTCAATGAAATAGAGTTAGTGTTTAGGGCAAGGTGACATTTTTTGTTACATACAAGTCGTTACTGAATCAAATAAAAAGTCTAGGGTGTAGGACCGAAAATTAAACATTGTAGAGGCTAAGTCAAAAGTCTGAAATGAAAGTGCATTTTTTTTCTCAATTAATTATATTTGGGTCTTCATTTCTTTAACAAACCAAGGGAATAACTAAATAGTGGTGGGGCCATCAGTTTCTTCTAGCAATTTAAACTTGACTTTTTCTTTGACTAGAATTGGCAGCAAAAAAAAAATGAAAAAACATAAGTTGTTGAATCATGCAATTCATATAAATGATATAGAATCACGTCAACTAATGCACGTATTGTACGATTCGAAATTGTTTGTGATTTGTCAGCTTGCCAAATCATATCAAATCGTGCAATTCGAATCACATGTTGTAAGACTCTAATAGCTTTGGTTTAATTAATACTTTAAAAAGCAACAAAAGACTTGTTCCACTAGATGAAGTGAGGTTGGATGCATAGATCACATGAGACACGGTCACAGGATGCTATGTGAATCTAAGATATGTGATTTCTAAATTTAATATTAGCAATTCAAATCTAATAGGGTCTTTAGTTTCCGCTGGCCATAAGTATACAAATTCCTTATCTATAATAGATGCATAAGGGAACTGCTCTTAGTTTTTCTACCGTCTGTATTAGTTTTATTTTGTAAATACTACACCTTCATCTGAATTACTTGTGTAGTCGTGCCTTCTAATTGGAGTCGCTACAATGCTTTTTTTAAACAGTGGAACAAGAAAAACAAAAGCAATTGACTGAAGGAGATGACACGAATGGCACAGCAGAGTAGATTGCATTTTGTTACGGGTGCCGCTGAAAAAGATATTGATGCACAATATGTTGAGAACTACTGTCCCATTAAGCTTCTTATTTACGCCAAAAAAAAGGGATCCGACACACTAGCCACTGCGATTTTGCATAGTATCGTGAACGTTTTATCATTCACTTCGTCAATGTTGAATTATTAGTGTATATTAGATCTGATTCTGGAGGTGAATATTCCTGCATAGTTGTATTGATTTGTTTATGCATAACAAGCTCAAATATTGGAGGTGATTTATTTTCCTCTTTTAAGTTCCCTAACCACAGTGGAAATAGGGGATTATCTTTTGAGCAAAATACCCGAACCTCGAGTGAATTATGTTAAGCAATAATGACTTTTAACGAAATATAAAGCGGCATTCTAACCTAAGTGCTTATTACCTATGTACCAATCAGTTTATCTGCATAAATTATCGGAAAATGCTAATATCCTTCAAACTTACTCAATAAGTGGTTTGCAACCGTAAGAAACATCCTCAGCACGATTTCGACTAAATTTGAGGTTCAGGAATTTGACACCAATTACGAACAAAATTAAAAGAAATCAAGACGGTATATGCATCAAAGAAAATAAGGAGGCATTTTAGATTTATGAGCTAAAGGTTCGTCATAGACAGATAGACAGACAAGATGAGTACTAAGTTTAAAATAAATTTAAAATTTATTTATTTTCAATTCTTATTTCATTATTTTTAATTTTATAAAATAATAATGATGATCAAAACTAGCGCATCTACATAGACGTCTTGATCGACATGGCACACCATTGTTCGATAAAATGTCGAGTACATCAAGATCAGCTGTAAAGACGTCATAAATTCCCTTGCATTAAAAATTCTTTCGAATTATACACACGATCACTTGTACAACTTGGTTTGACGAATGGAGGATTTGACTGACTTTATGCAGAAACAAAACAGTAATAATCATATTATTTGGGGTAATGGCAAGGAAACCCTTTCTTTTCCTAAAGTAGGCAATTTACATTAAACCCAACTTGAAGCTCTATTTCCACTTGCTGGCCTTCTTTTTTCAAATATTGCGGAGGAGCGAATCAATTTATAAAGAAAAAACGGGAAAAAGATAGACACAATGTCAGAAATCGTTAATTTTCAACTATTGACAAGCATTGGAAAATCACCCTTCTGAACTTGAAGTTGATTCGCGTCCTTCTTTCTGATAACCTGACATCTCTCGGGTCTGCAAACTTTCATGGTTTAATCAATTTTTATTTTGTCATCCATTGAGATGATTGGTGCCACCACTTTGTCCCCCTTTCACATTTTCTGTTCTCCAAGAGGAATCCACCTGAGGAAGTTGATATTCATCTGGTTTTAAAGCCAAGGCAAAATCAGGCAATGTTGGTGCTGTTTCCAGGATTCTGTAATAAACATTGACACAAAACGCATGATTTTATCAGTCATCTACTTAATTTTTCCCTAAGCAAGATTTACCAACTACGGCATCTCATTTATGCAACAATTTACCAGTGCACTAAAGTTTACCTCTCATAGGAGTACAGATCACGGTTTATTCGCACCTTGCTTGAAGTATCTTTAGGAATTTTCTCGCAAAGATATTTCATTGTCCCCCAAAGTGGTGGATTTCTGCACCACGACTGCGAGTTAGATGGACCATGAAAAATAATATTACAACCAAAAGTATTGTTTTCTTCTAAGAGAACTTAAAAAGACGAACGAATAAACACCATAGCCTGACATCTCAGTGATTAGGTTCAGCTCATAAATAGGGTCACTAAAAAAGGTTCAAAAAAGCTTTTAAAAAGAATCAATGCTCATGCCAGAGTTCAAGTACACAAAAAGACCTCATTTATGAGGCCATTATCCCTGCAGTCTGGTGGTCACCCGTCTCTGGACAAGTGAAGGATGTAGAACACTATACTACTGCTTGAGATTCCTAAGCTGCTGCATTACATCTAGAGAAAAGGAAGAGGGAATGCATAACTTCATTGAGAAGCCAAACAATTTTAGCTAACTTTATTCAAACTAATAAATAATTATATCAGAAGGTATGGCTAAAATATTGTAAGGTTCATATGATCTTCAACGCATAGTAAGAGATTCTACCAAAGCTTCCACTTTTTATTCTTCGCTGTCATTTCACTGAATTCAATAATGAGGGTACTATAATTGTACTTTAAGAGGTAAAATAAAGATCGGTACTTATTAAGTTATTCAAGAATCACAAGCACGAGAAATTAAGGTGTGTCACAATTTCATTCAAGACACAGAAACTGCTGTCTACCTCTTCCAAAAAAATGACAATTTGCTAGGTTTCCAGCCAGAATAGTAAATAGATACGAAACGAAATAGACACTTTATTCTAAATCATTCTATGCCTAAAATTAGGTGAGGTTTATATCCATTTATATACTTTAAGTAAAATCTCTGGATATTGTGAGATCATTAACATTTTCTTAACACCCAAGATTAGACATTTTGAGTACAAGACTAGATATTTATGAGTTATTTCGATAGTGGCCAGAAAACGGATTATACTATTAGCCTAACAAATATTGTTAAGATAGACTTTGATAACTCAACCTTATATTAGCATGAAAGATGAGGTTAATGTCTACTTATATACTCTATTTTAATTATATCTCTTGATGATGTGGAATTCCCAACATACTCATTCCAAAAAAATGGGTAAATATAGTTAAGGATGATATCACTATATATTACACACATGACATGACTCATGATTTAAACGTTGATTCAAGGACGTTCTAAAAATTAGTATGACTCTTTTTTCTGAAGATAACATAATCAGTTTGTATAAGGAATAACCTTGACAATGGGGGTGCTGCATTGAATGCTTCACACAGCTTCTTACTTTCTTTGAAATACTCATCCGCAGCTTGTAAAGCAGCTACTGCCATCCCATGAGATTTCTCCGTGTTTCCCTCATCAAGAATCAATCCATGATAATAATATGCTGCAGCCTAGAAATCATTACAATAAGGATATCAATAACTTCACATCACTTGCTTCTGCCAAAGGCATCTTCTTTAATGCATTAGTATGCCAAAATCATAAGAAACCATATATATACAAGTAGTTGTGCCGTTCAAGGACTCATTAAGTAAGATTAAGGGCATAAAATATAAGAAGAAATCAAATAGCTTAATAATAATACTTTCATGTGCTCATTTCCTTAACCAAGCTGAAACCCACTACCAAGTCAATGAGATTTTCCATCCATAGAATGTTGTCCCCCTTCCAACACAAAAACAACTAAAACCAATGTGCCCCTGCAGTAGAAGGCCCCTTGCTATGTAAAGGTATGGGAGAGGGCCACTGTACACAACCTTACCCTTGCATATGCAAAGAGGTGTTTCCATAATTGAAGCCACGACCAACTAGTCACCCTGGCACAATGTCCTCCCCCAACCCCCACAACCACATAAAGATGCAAATGACAAAAACGCAACCCATTTATACACTTGCTTTCACATCGAATGTCCCAATGTCTTACAGATGCAGAAGCTACCCAGTGAAGCTTCAGTTGACATGAAAATTTTAGTTCCAAATGAATTACCAAACATGCACTTCAGCCTCTGCTTAAAAATAGGTCAGTCATTAACCAAATATCCCTACAGCTACTTCCAAGTAAACTTTGTACAATCCCCACTACTTCTCAAGTTTTAATACCAACTTCATATTTTATCTTGTAGACCATTGATTAATTGATTCATTTTATACTTCATCTACATTTATAAGCAGAAGGCAGCCAGTAACCAAAATCATTAAATAGGAAGATGCAAATAACTGGGGAGAAAAAACACAAACCTTTGCTTCAGTATACTTCCACTTCACAAAAAGACTATGTTTTTCACCCCAACCATTTGCTAATGGAAGGTTCATAATATTATCTTGCGCCTGCAAAATGAAAAGTGTAAGTAATCTGGTTAAATGCATTCGTGTTAGCATACTAATGAACACACATGCCTACTCATAATTGAAACAAAGATTTGGCTAAGGGAAAATATGCTATTGATTGAGAAACAAGTTGGAGATCCCACCAGAAATTGGGGGCAGAACAAAGGAAATAAAGGATAAAAAACAGAGAATTAACAGTTGCAAGTTAGTTATTTGGCTTTGAAATACTTCTAGAAATAAACCAACAAATTCATCAACAGAACAAAAATCATGCTAAAAGAACTTGCACAAAGCAAAAGTAGAAAAAAAAGTTGTTCCACTAGACACAATGATATCCATTACATCTGAAGTGATTAATATTTATATACGTAAAAAAAAACTTGTATTTTACAGATATTTAATTTGAATTTATATGAAAAGGTTACATGCTCAAGTACAACTTCTAGGTTCTAGCATTGTCCACACACCTCATACCCCACCCTGGAAAAAAGAAAGAAAGATTTACATGAAATGTTGAAAATTAAAATGCATCGGCGGTAAATTGACAGTTCCCATGATTCCATTAGACATACCAATCAATATTTGAAATGCATTAAATATAAAAATTGTAAACTTTGCATTTGTACCTGCTGCCAATATTTCACCATCTCACATGCAAGTCTACGCTTCACTGCAAGAGTGGCTTTGGTACTATCAATTGCCATTCCAAGTTGGATATCTACACCCTATTAAAACAACGAAAAATAAACAAGTATACCCAAAATAGATATGAGATAGAGAGGGTGGGAAAGGTATCTATATCTATATCTATATATTTAACAGTCCCCTTCTCCAGTCTCATGCAATGTTGTTAATGTTTTACGCAGCATTCCCCCACCCTAGATAGGAGAGTCACATATACTCAGGTCAGATGGTTTTGAATCACAAATTCTTAAATGGAAAATGCATCGTTAGACCTAATACTTTTCATCTAATAGTTAGGACAAATTCCAAAGAATTTACAAAATGAATTCAATTAAAATGATAGCAACCATCAGGGGTTTACACAATGATTGCAATTACAATGTACCCCTTTTTATCCCTTCTTAGCTTTAAATTTCACCCTCAATTCATAAAATTTACATTTTAGAATTTATATATCAATGGAACAAAGACTTTACTTGAAATTTGGGGTAAATACTAAAATGTCAAACACGTGTTCTCAGATTCAAAAGATCTAATAAGTCTACTCCTTCATTTTCACCCTTGCATTCATTCTCCAAATTATGACAACAAAGGCATGTACTAAAATATTGAAAATTCAAACACATTGTTCTCAGATTCAATTATTCAACATGTGAAATTTTTGTATAATTCTTTATAAGCTTCAAGTGACAATTTTTCTATTATTAGCTTTATTATGAGCAAATTTAGACATATCCACTTACTCAATATTTTCGTAAACTTTTAGAAGAGGAAAGGTCTGAAATCTGCTAGACCAAAACTTTTAAATGGCTTAATTAATGTGGAAGATTAAACTGAAGAATGATAACAGGTTTTAAGTGGAAAATGGATCTATGTCAAGAACAAAGGATTTTTACTTGAATCTCTATTTGAATGGTGTTCACATGGTTGCCGGATGTGCCTTACTCTAAGCATGAGAAGATTATCTTGAGCCATAACCCCTTTTTTTTTCTGATTACAATGGCAGTTTTATCTTCATAAATGAAATGAAGAATAGAAAAAATTGGGAAGGATAAAACGTGTCTCATAAGCATTGGGCATTAATTCTACTCTGTTCTCAATGCCTCATCTAATAGAACAAGGTTGTTTGTGGATGTATTCTCTTTACATCAAGCATATTGATTCCCATGACATGCCGCTGAAAACATTATTCATTAAAAGAAAAACTCAAGCATTGTAGCATTATTATTAATTAATGCAGTTTAGCGAACTTTAATATTAATATTAAATAAATGATGTGTGTTTATGATAGATGTCAATCATAAAAAATATTAACCATTTTGTATTCTCACCTAATAGACAAAGCTTTTAGGTTACTTGGTTTAAAATATGATATCTAAGGGCCGATCCCTCGCATGATGATGATGTAGAAATCTTCACACTTCATATGTCAAGTTTATGGTGTCAAGAGTGTGTTAATATCCAAAATTGGCTGAAGTGTATAGGAATTCCTCCTTCCTTAAGCTAGCGTTTGGCAAGTCAAGCAAAGTCATCCCAAAGGCCAAGTTAGTTTATGAGATAGTATCAGTCTTTGTAACTAAGTAGTCTACAGCTTGACCAGATTTTCCCATATTCGTCTAAATAACAAGCAAATTTCAGTACAAAGTTAGACTATAGTAAGAGGTTTAAAAAGAACAAAAAGCATTCAAGAGCCTCCATTAAAGAACTTAAGCATTTTAGATAATTGGTTAGTGATTTGATATCAGAGCCTATTTGATGGTAGTATTTGATGTTAGGCTACCATCAAATATCCACTCTTGAAAACTCACATCCTTATCCAAACTCTGCATAACGGAAATATATTAAGATCCCACACTGTAAATAGTAAATATATTTGATGTTAGACCTAGTCCATTCCCAATTTTAATAGTACATAAACCCAGCAAAGCTAATTCTATTAAACATTTACTTGAAAATGCAACATAACTTCGCGAGAAGAATGTCGCATAAGATGTTTGGCTCACTAAATAGAGTTACAACATACAAGAAACATTGATTAATGTGATAGGTTTTTGGTTCATAATTCTCTGCAAGGAAATATTAATTAATACCTGTCCCAATGCTTGCAGACAGAGTGCTCGCAGAACTCCTTCTGCAAGGTCTACCGGTAAATTTCTCCTAAAATCAGAATCCACAGTGAGAAGACTACTAAAAAGAAAATAAAAAAGATTGTTCAGATTACACAAAACTGTTTGACAGTCAACTGATTGTATTACATGGTTACAAACCTGAGTTCGGCAGGCAACTGTGGAAGAACATGCCTTACAGCACAATCAAGATACCCAGCTGCCTTTAGGAAGATATCAACAGAAGCTCGTCTGCTTTCTGTCATTAATCAACCAAAAGTTCAAACTTCCCAGTAGGAACAATAAAGGTATCTATGAAGCAGTATCATCAGAAACAAAGTATTGCAGTATAAGACAATTAAAAATATGTTTCCAGTTAATCAGCTACCACAATATATATAACCAACAGCCGAAAAAATTACACCAAATTTTGTATTATTCTATCAATAAGATGATGAAATTTCCATTCCCTATTATGATAACTAGACATGAACACGAAGAACTGCAATCAATTATTCACTGTATAGGCAATGAAAAAACAAGAAAAAGAACAAAAAAAAGAAAGAGAGAATTACTTCCTTCAAACTTCAACTAGAAAATACTAATAATTAAAGACAACAGAGTCCATGTAACCACTAAATCGCATACACAAAGCAGAAAAAAGATTAAATGAAAACTCTACTTGTGTCACCAATTGGAATTATTCCGAACCCATGTATTTTGGTGGTTTGATGTAAAACACAATAAGGTTAGGGGAAGTTACAAGGAATATGTTGACATGTGCCAAAAATTTTAATACTCACCTTCTGATACTTTTGGCTGATGACCATCAGTTGACATTCTGGGAAGAAGTAATAAATTGGCCTGTGATAGTGATAGCGTTGCCATCAAGTGCAAAACTGACAACACTTCATACCAAGCATTAGCCATGGCTGTTTCCTGGAAATCGTCAGTTGCACCAACAAACAAGAAAAGAAAGTGAAGATGATAGAAAATGATCAGGCATTATTTTGTATACAAATGACCATTCAAATCAAAGCAGAAACACATGAATTAAAAAAGTAGGAATTACCTCTGCATCATCCTCTTGATTCACCCAAGCAAATTGTACTTTGTATTGTAAATGGCTTCCTGCACAATAAAGATAAGCAATTAATCAGGACAGGTTGTGGAGAGAATATTCATCAAGTATGAATGGACTACAACATGCTTTACCATTTTCTACTAATCCCAAAAGTACTGGCAAGTAGTCTTCCAGAGCCTGCTGAAGATCAGCCAGTGTTGAACCTCCTGAGGATGAAATTGTGTGATGCATCATTAAATTTGAGCAACTCATGCATTATAAAATGATTCATCCTTGCTAGCACTAACCATGTTGGGTGGCACTTTTCCTCTTTGTTCTTGTAATTGTAGGCCCTTCTTGGCCAGCCATTACCACTATACGGGTTCTAAGCGCAGACAGGCGTTCCACTATATTCTTGGATAAGTAATCACCAAGTGACTGGGCAAAATCAACAGGTTTAGGAATTCTTAGACCGGGAACATAAACAGAAACCTCCCCAATACTCCCTGGTCTTCTTCTATTTCCACCAGAATCCTTAGGAGTGGACACAAAGCAGCCCATATCCTGCTGATACAAATAAGACAGTGAATCACCACCAAGAATCTTGTGTTTCTGTGCACACAACAAGTTTCTATTGTCTCTGACATCAAGATACACAAAGATATGAGGATTACAGTCTCACAAATATATTCCAGAAACAAAGATGACTATTTATCAATAGAAGTTCACAAAATTTAGAGAACACTCACAACTTACAGGGAAACTAACTGTAAAAAAGCCATTACATGAGTAATTAAATGTCAACCAACAAAGACGTGGTAGCAGGTTGCTCAGGTTTTAAGTTGTACCAGGGCTCCCCAATATTATTTTAAAAATAACATACTTTATTCGACAGCATTGAGTTTTTCTTTTTTTTATCGGGCCATTTTTAGCAGTACTAATGATTCTCATTTCTTTATTTTTTTTCCTCATTCCATAATCTTAACTCGTAATTAAAAATAAGCACCAAGGACTTATCCAACTAACCTTGTCGTTTGCCCTGGCAGTTCACTCTTCACTGGTCAGGTCAAAAGTTCTGCTATTCTCTGAGCCAAAATTCAGAGGGAGAAACGTGAGGTTGAGGAAAAAAATATGGACATAAAAGCAACTAGATCACAAGAACGGCATGAGACATGGCAAGTGTGGTCCGTGCCAATTCTTCATTGTGATGACAGGGAAAAGATTTCGAAAGATTGCAGCAGGCATGCATAGTGAATTGGTGATAGTAAAACTAAAGGTAACACTCCCCCCGTGCACCCCGTTACACCAACAACACAAACCCAACATATACAACAACCAGTTTGAGAACTTCCTCAAGATAAAGAAACTTCAAGGAAAAGGTTTCGGCCCAAAAAATTAGAGAATATAGCAAGAGAAAAATCAGCAAAGAATGAGAATCATGACTTGTGAGTAAAGCGTTTCCAAATAAATCCAAACAAGCTACAATTGCAGAAACGCAAAGGAACATTTGCATTCTTTTTATCTCTTTCTAGCACTAATTGGTGCCTTGTCATGGCTTCACACCACTGTCACTAAGATAAATCAGGAAAACGGTAATGAGGAAAACAAAAAGCTCCAGAAATCGAAACTGAAGCTTGAAGTTCGAAACCTTTTTAAAGTAATGAAAAAAATGCTCCACTGGATCAATGAAAAATCACACAAAAACCTTGGGTTTCAGAATTTGTATTAACCCCCCCCCCCCCCCGGCCCTTCTTAAAAAATAAAAACTGTCAGAAATATTCCAACACATAAGTTGAACTGATTTGCCAACATGATATAATCAAAAGCAATCCCCAACCCAGGAAAGCACTTGTTTCAACAAATTCCCCACCTCTATTCACCATTTTCCAGAAAAAAAAAAATCCACCTTGATATCCAATTCAGAATCACGTGCTGCTAATGAGTCTTACCATGAACAGATAGAGTGGCAGCAATTGAGCAAAGCAGAGTGAGGCACCCAATTGCAATCCAATTGAGAATCAAAGGAACCCTAAAAAAGCAGAGAACTTGAGAGGTGCCCAGAAGCAGAAACCAAACTTGAAAAGAATGTGATCCTTAGCGATTCCTTCATAGAGACGAACAGAGACAAAGACAGATACAGAGACAGAGACAGAGTCTTCTTCTATCTTTGAGAACAAAATTACAATTATATTTTAATTATTGTGGAGCATTGGGATATTGCTTGTTTTTATTCATGCATAGCAATAACATAATAAGAATAAGACACTGCCTACAATGTTGTAAGTTGTTAGCAGCCACAACTAGAAAATGGTATTAGCATTAACATTACAATTAGCATTAGGTGGCTTCATATATTATTGTTAATTACTGAGATTAAAATATTAGTTCAGTATTAGTACCATTGCGTTTAAATGGCGCACATTTTGCAAAACCACGTCTTTTTTTTTTTTTTTTTTTTTGAAGCCTCGTTGATTCTCAGTCTCTACTTTCTGCTGTGCCTAGCTGGTTTTACTCCCTCCTTTTTCTTCTTTATTTTCCATTCTACCCACCTTTTATTAACGTGTGTCTTAAGATTTAATTTCAATAATATAAATAATTATATGATTTTCCCAAAATTAGAAAAAAAAAATATTTTTTTTATAATAATAAATTTTTGATTTTTTCCATGAGTGAGTGGCAAGTGACCACACTGGCAATTCCTACAGTATACACACAATGGGATTGCTTGCCGTCTCAGTCTTTTTTCTTTTCTTTTTTTCCTTCTAGAAATATATATTAAAAATTAAATAATTAATATAAAAATTACAAGTTGGTACTATCATACTATGTATGAAGATTATGTCTGCAGAAATTTCAATTGCATGCAAGTGTGAGGTCATCATAAAACCAAGAGCCAACCCTCATCATAAAAAGCTGATTTTTTCTTCTTCTTTTTTAATATCAATAGTTTTTTATTTGTTTATCTCTTCAAACAATTTTGTTTAAGCAAACCACAAAATTGTTTCTCTTTGGAAGTGTGAATTATGATTTGAAAAAATATATATTTAATTAATAAATATATGTGCAAAATAAATGATAAAATAATTGAAATCTCAGTCGTAAATTTTTTTTCATGACGGTTATATATTGTGAAGAAATCAAATTAAAAGAATTGACACTTGGCAATCCACATCAATAAAATAAGACGTGTGGGCATTGATAACATTACAAAAAAAAACACGTGAATCACTTCCAAATTGCTAGACTCAAAATGCTGAAACTTCAAGCCATAGCAACCCTTCAATCTTGTTTCAATTTGTGTTTAGAAATACTTTTACAGAAAAAAAAATATTTAATATTTTCTGAATTTGTTGGCATTGATATTGGTTTATAAATAATACCTAAGCTTCACTTTTAGACAGAATTATAAAGTGAGAACAAATATTTCCGATTTTTTGTGTAATTTAAGGACTAAAATTTTAGATATTTAGTTGAGGGAAATAGTCTTTATCAATTTATTTATGCATTCGGTAGCAGATATTTATCATTCTTAATTTGACGTCACAATCAAATTTTATGGTAAATGAGATTTTACAGAAGAAAACAAAACAAAATTCAAAAGGGTCAACGTAAATTGATCTACAATCACAAATATTTTTACTAAGATTATATTTCTGAGAAAAAGAAGATAAAAGACATGAAACATAATAGTCGTAATTCTTAAGAACTACAATGATTGTGTTGGTCTGATGATTATAAATATATACATGATAGATCCCTAGGAAAATGAAAGAGTGTGAAGTTATGATAAGTATTTTTTTGTATCTAGCAATTTCCTTTTATGTTAGATAACGTGCCTTGGTAGAAATGATGTTGTGGTTTTCCTCATATATGACGATCCAATGAACAATGTTGAGAAGGGTCATAACAAGAATCTTAAAACTTTTGCATCCACTTCCTCAAGCACCAACACTTTGGTCTACCTTTTCACTTCATGAGTAGTAATGTCACTAAGATTCCCCTTGTCACACTTATGCTTCCAACTGAAAATGCATGCATGAATCAAAATTCCAAAGAAGAAGAATAAGAAAGAAAGAAAGAACTTAGTGAATCATGTGTATGGGTGAATTTAGGGTTTCCAATTAGAGTTTTTTGCGTCTCTCTTCCTACCTCTCCCTTTTATGATCGTTGCAATGCATTTTTCAAATTAGTTTGTAAGCCACCCACCAACACCAACTATTTGTCAAAAGTCTTATGGATGACATAAAAACGTATTATAATTTATATATATACATATATAAAAGGAATTTATGAATACTAAGAAAAAAATACACGAGACTATTGACTTTCACAATTTCACCATCATTGCTTGTTTATATTACATCGAATAACTAGTATTTTGCTTTATAAATATTTATTTATATCATTAATATAGAATAAATAAATATTTTTGAAATTTAAATTACTTTACAATAAAACACCTTTTGAATGAATAAACTATATTTTAGATTTCTGATAAATATTTTGTTTTGCGATGTAATTTATGTTTTAACTATTAATAATTTATTAGTATTTTAGTGCGTGTGTTGTGTATGCGCAAAATAAATATTTACTTATATAACTAAAATTTATAATGAATAGTTCTTTTTAAATATATAAATTATATTATAATTAAATGTTTATTTATTAACTATTTTTAATTTAAAATATATTTTAGATTTATGGTAACTAGTTTATATCATTATATAATATTATTTTAATTATTTTTTTAAAAAGATTAAAAACGTTTGTTTGAAGAGTGATAACAAAAATACTATTTTTAAGATTATTTAGTTTACAAGAAGAATATTTTTTTAAATATTCAAATTTAATTAAGAAATAAATTTGAAAAATTATAATGAGTTTTGAAAAAATTAAAATATTATAATAATTCTTAAAAATGCTGTTGTCGAATAATTTCTATGAAACATAACTAATCTAATTTTATACAGAGGATAAAACGTAATTTTATTTATGCATTTGTTTCTCATTTCAGAATACAATGTGTTTTATATATATATATATATATATATATATTAAGAAATTAGAAAACATGGGGTATAATATTATTATATGTTTTGTACATTCCAGAATGTCAACGTGGATTAGGTTCGTAAAGTAGATAATAAAAAGAAATTAAAAAAATGATGGATTTAATTTTAGTGAGTGAAAGACATAGAAGGGAACTTGTGATCCCAACATATTGTGTTTGTTTCTGGTTACAGGATGGTCATTGTGAAAGATTATCTTGGAAGAAATTATCTTTTGTAGATAACGTTGTGACGAGAATCCACGGAGTGAGAGCCAAATATTTGCTTTTGAAATGTAATTTATCGATCTACAAACGTTGTTTTTATTCAAAGGTTGAAGAGTGATTGAAGTTGATGTATTTAAGAAGAGTAGTAGATAAAATATTGTTGTGTTGCTGTTTCGTCACCGACTAATCATGTAGCATCGCCGTCCAAGGATGCAAACTCTTCCACCTCAGCGCGCGTGACGTCACCGGAGAAGCTCGTGATGTCATTATGGCGCCGCCGCTGCGA